GCAGGGCAAGGTGCTCCAGGATTAAGTCAGGAGCTGTTGGCTCCTCTTGAGGCAGAGATTGTTGAGGAGAAAATCATAGCTATGCTTTGGTATTTTATTACCAAAAAAACAGAAACCCTTATTCTCATGTGGGTGATTCAGAAGTCTGGCTCTTCCTAGGAAGCATGATGAGAAAAACTAGAGGGTCTGATGCCAGATGATAGAGCAAGGAAAAAATGATAGTGAAATAACATTACAGGAAAAAAAACCAGATGACAGAACAGAAATGGTAGGCAAAAAGGGGGAATGAGACAGCTGAAGGCAGGCAGGGTTGGGAGAGGATATGGGGCTACAGCCGTCAAGCAGAGAAGAAAACCAAACCACACTGTGAAGCAGAGCCATGGCAAGAACACAGAAACAGTCAGTCAGTCAGTCAGTCAGCCGAGGGTCAGCCATTCATGCAGCAAAAACTTGGAAAATGCCTTCAAGACTCCAGCATTGTACTGAATCTGAAACTCCATGAGAGAGCAAAGCTGATTGGATAGACGGCTGCTCAAATGGACTTCCCCACCCAGTGACGGGGTCAAGGTTTCCACCTGTAAACCAGGTTGGTTCAGCCCTGACACTCTAGGTCCTGATGGGTGGAGGCCAGGGACACACATTCTCCAGCTGTCTTCCCACCATAAAAGGCACTGCCAGTCCTCAGAAAGAAAGATATTTGAGAAGAATGGAGGCTGGAGATAGAACTAATGCAGAGTTCAGAGAAAAGGGCGCTGGGGTAGGAAGTTTTGGGCAGAGAAGATGAGAGCAGGAGGAGGGAACCCTGATTGGGACCAGGCAGCTTCTTTCCAAGCCTGATTCCAGCCCCATCTCTCCTTCCTAGAAGAGGAACAATGAAGGAAGGGATATGAGGATGGGACTAATGTCAATAAGGAGGGGAATAGCCCTTTTGCTGTCTTTTTTCTTTTTTTGAGATGGGGTTTTACTCCCATTGCCCAGGCTGTACTGCAGTGGCACACTCCCGGCTCACTACAAACTCTACCTCCCAGGTTCAAGCAATCCTCCTGTCTCGGCCTCCCAAGTAGCTGGAATTACAAGCACATGCCACCACACCCAGCCAATTTTTCTATTTTTAGTAGAGATGGAGCTTTACCATATTGCCTAGGCCGGTCTCAAACTCCTAGCCTCAAGTGGTCCACCCACCTTGGCCTCCCAAAGTGCAGGGGTTACAGGCAGGAGCCACCGTGCCTAGCACCTCTGCTGTCTTTTCTGGCTCTTTGGAAAGTTCCTGAAGGAAGGACAGCTATGAGTCTCTCCCCTAACCCTCGCCAGTCAGCAATTGCTCAAAGAAAATCACATGGCTCCCCCCACGCACTCCCTGTCACAAGGGAAGAATACTCCAAGTATGAAAATGGATCCTGAAACCTGCCCCTGGTGGAATTGCCACTTTGGAATTATCCAAATCCCTGCTATGTTTGCACACATCTGGCTGCTGTCACATACTTAATGGGATAAATAAAACGTTGTCATTTACAGGAAGGTCTCTGGCCTGGAAGCATCTCCCACTCACTGTCTGAAAATCCAACATCTAGAGATTTGCTTAGGTTGAAAATAAAATATTCCTGGGGTTAGGGCTAGAGAGTAACTGACATTCAGATCTTAGTGAAAATTTGTTTTAACCAACTCTCTTTCTCACCCTATACTTACACCTGAGCCACATTGAAGAAATGAGTGTGTTGAGTGGGGTATGGAAAGGGGGAGGCCGGGATTCACCCGTGAAGACAGGAACACAGCAAGAGCCCACAGAGAGGGCCCAAGAGTTTGGCTCTGGGTCAGCCAGGCCTGGAATTAAGAGGGGGGCCACACAAGGAAAGAAGGGATGGAAAGGAAGTGACTGAAAGGAAAAGTTGAGGTTTATGAGTGTAAAACTGGGCTCTGAAGCAGAACGAGTGTCCTTGAAGGAACTGTGGGAAGTCCCAAGACTCTCAAATCATATTTATTAGCATGCACAATCACAGCGCATTTATGTTTCTTTCTTTTTCAAAAATTGAAATTCTTCAATAAGGAAAAGACCCTCCCTTCCCTCCCTGATTTATAGAGCAGTGACATTCCCAGACGAGGTGAGTTCTGGTGTGCTCAGCTCAGACATTCTTGCAGTCGTTATGCACAGGCCCAGGCAGGTCTTTGTGAAATGGGTTTCCCTAATCACATCACTGTCACTATTAGGAGGAAATATTGGACAATATATTGGTATTATAATGTAAGACAAATTTCTTCCTGGAACTGATCACACTTTCACAAAACCATTAGTCATGTTGGCATTAACCGTTTTTTCCCATCACAGATGAGGCTCAGAAAAGCACTGTCTTCAGTTTGGCTTCCCCCAGCTGCATACTTCATCACTTCCCAGAGGCCATCCTCTCTCCTAAGAGATGTGTTATTCCAGTATATTTGGAGATTCCATAAAGGAGCATGGGTCCTGAAATCACACTGCCCAGTGTCAAACCTATCAGTAACTATGTGAATGACCTCAGCTGAGCTATTCAAACTTACTATGCCACAGTTTCTTCATCTGTAAAATGGGGACATTGATAGGAGTCACAACTCTTCATCGTTACTCATGATGATTAAATCATATGGAAAGTGTTCAGCACAGTGCCTTGCCTGGCTTAAACCAGACACTGAAAGACTGTAACCTTTATTATAATTATAGAACAACACCAAAAGCTTTAGAGCTGAAGAATAAAACTTTCTCAGTTAACATGTTTTTTTCCCTAAATAAACACCCATTGTATGTGTGTGTGTGTGTGTGTGTGTGTGTGTGTGAATTTGAGACACATAGAACTCAGCAGGGAGTGTGCTTCAGAGGTAATAAATGCTCACTTCAGAGGTAATAAATCCTTGCTTCAGAGGTAATAAATGCTCCCAACAACAACCACACTATTTTGTCTTCTTTGGGCTCTTCAGTATTTAAGTTTACTCTTTGTTTATACTGATGCACTTTTTGACTGAATTTCAGAGCACTGTTTGCCAGAGTAGATTTTAACAGCGCCAGCAATTTGTCACGGCGCTGATAGGTCCACAGAACAGAGAGGAAAAGGAAGACATAAAATCAAGACCTTAGGTTTGAAACAACAACGGCAAAAATTGTTCAGAGCCATTAGGAATCATCCATTCAACCTACTCCTTTTTCAGATAAGAAAACTGGACGCCCAAAGGGATCACAGGACTTCTCCAAAGCCACTCTGCCAACTGTACACAAAGCTGTGACTAAAAGCCCATGGAGAAGGAAAAGGAGCTTGGGAGTGAAGAAAGAAAAGAAAGGAGGTGGAAGGAAAGTCACGATGTTCTTTCAGTTTCTCTGAAAGGAGTGAAGAGGGACGTTTGAGATTGCATAATTCATAAAGCGCCTTTAGTGAAAGCCTGTGGCAATCTGAGAATCTCAGAATAAAGAACATTCAATTGGGAGTCCCCCACCCTTCATCCATCACTCTTATCAGTATTCTAGCAATGAGGTTGTGACAATCTCTTTAGTAAGCATTTTTAAGAGTTCAGCTTTTTATTGAACATGTTATAAAATAGAGTTACCCAAAAACAAACAAACAAAGCCCATGTTATCATCAGACTCTTCAGATTCTTCTTTCTTTGCTTCCACTTTCTTCTCCTTGGCCTGGGCAGCAGTGATGGAGGGGCAGGACCTCCTGCAGGGGCACCACCAACTGCTGGAGCAAGTCCTCCTGCCCCGCACCTCCACTGCAGAGGAGGCTCCCGATCTTGACAATGGCCAGGGCCTTGGAAGACAAGACAGGCCAAAAGCCATCATCATTTACCCCAGCTGCTTTAGTAAGAATATTAACCTTATCTTCTATGATGATCGCCTCAGAGTTATGCAGAACGAGGGCTGAGTCAGTGCAGGCAAGCTCTGAGACAGAGTCCGTGGTATGGACAAGTGCAAGGCTGGGCTGCCAGGAGCAGTGCTAGTGCTGGATGCACTGAGGGCCTCACGCCAATGCAGCCTCAGCTCAGAGGGCAGAGCATCTTGGTGGCAGCTGGGAAAAGGCTAATAAGCATTTTCAAAATTTGTAAATTGAGTAATTGGAGAACATAATCCCTCCTTTAAGACTTCACAGTTTTGTTCTTCTGCTGCCAAAAACCCCATGGCAGTGTCTGTGCAGGACATGAAGGGTCCTGAGGCCTGGTTCCTGCAGTGCACATCAAAGAGTAGGGTTTGGGTAGATAGAGAAGGTGGAAAAGGGCATCAAGGACACAGTGGCCCAACTTGAGAAGACAAAAAAAGTGACGAATGGCCTAGAGAAAAAGTGTAGTGAGTCTGGCTAGAGAAAAATAATAACAAGCAATCATATTAGAAAGCTGGTTAGGTCCCTGGTGAAGCAAATGACACTCATTTGGGAGTCATCAGGAGATATTGACAAGGGGATCTCATGGTAACATCATCTAGGAAAACTGATCGAGAATCACTGGTCCAATGGTGGCAAGGCCAATGTTGTGTAAAGTTGAGACTCTCATCAAAATCCGTAATTTGAATATTCAGGAGGGAAGGAATTCATCAACACTGAAGTTGTATGTTTTACACAACACTGCATCAGAGAATAAAGGGCATCTAGGTAACTGAATTTTAACACAGATTATTTGCATGGATTCCAACTTACTTTTCAATTTAGACAAAACACTTTGCATATGTGGACTCAGTCTGAATTTCACATTTTCATTTGGTAAAACATCACAGTAGCCATTGGTCACTGAGGGCCAATGCAGCCCTATCCACCGGGCCTGCTCCAGTAATTGGTAACACACACAGACCAAGTAGGAATGATCTTTGAAGACATTGCAAAAGGGTGACATTCTTGGGAGCCAGTCAGTCAAATGTGAGAAACTGAAATGGGTTTGGGATCATTTTAAACGTTTTAAAAATATATGAAGATGTTTGTTTGATTGTTTTCCTAGCCAAGTGGCCTGCTGACTTGCAAATAATATGTATGAATCTGTGTGTTTTCTTCCAGGGTCTTTCTTCCCTGATTTCAAGCCTTCTGAAACCGTTTTTAAAATAGTATTTTGGCTCGGATATCTAAACAGCTGCATCAACCCCATCATATACCCATGCTCCAGCCAAGAGTTCAAAAAGGCCTTTCAGAATGTCTTGAGAATCCAGTGTCTCCGCAGAAGGCAGTCTTCTAAACACGCCCTGGGCTACACACTGCACCCCCCCAGCCAGGCCCTGGAAGGGCAGCACAAGGACATGGTGCGCATCCCCGTGGGATCAGGAGAGACCTTCTACAGGATCTCCAAGACGGATGGCGTTTGTGAATGGAAATTTTTCTCTTCCATGCCCCGAGGATCTGCCAGGATTACAGTGTCCAAAGACCAATCCTCCTGCACCACAGCCCGGGTGAGAAGTAAAAGTTTTTTGCAGGTCTGCTGCTGTGTAGGGCCCTCAACTCCCAGCCTTGACAAGAACCATCAAGTTCCAACCATTAAGGTCCACACCATCTCCCTCAGTGAAAACGGGGAGGAAGTCTAGGACAGGAAAGATGGAGAGGAAAGGGAAATAATCTTAGGTACCCACTCCACTTTCTTCTTGGAAGGCCAGCTCTTCCTGGAGGACAAGATAGGACCAATCAAAGAGGGGACATTCTGGGAATGGGGTAGGGGGTAGACCCACCTCATCAGGCAGTGGGTAGGGTGCAAGGAAGAGGGAGAGTGTCTCACAACCAACCAGTTCAAAACCATACTGAACAACATTTCCCTGCAGCTAATGCTTTCTCGGTCACTCTGCGCCCGCTTCAACGAAAACCACCATGGGAAACAATTTCATGTACAATCCAAAAGACTATAAATATAGGATTATGATTTCATCATGAATATTTTGAGCACACACTCTAAGTTTGGAGCTATTTCTCGATGGAAGTGAGGGGATTTTATTTCAGGCTGAATCTACTGACAGCCACATTTGACATTTATGGGGAGAGGGCCTAGAGAGGGAGAGTATAAGATGGTGGCCGAAATCCAGACACATTATTTTTAGAGCAAGTCCTGAAACTCCACCCTTTCTAATACATCCAGTTTCTCAGCTTGAGGGAAACTTGACAGGGAGGTTTACCTTTGGCTGCACTTTGAATGGATGCTGCCCCTCATTTCCCAATGACAGTGAGGGACGCTCATGATGTCTCAGAACATAGCATTCTTTATCCGTGGGTCAGGAGAGGGTTGAAAGAACGAATCAAGGTGGTATGGCTTTTCCCAAGAGAAGACAGTAGACAAGAGCCTCGTTCTTTCCATTTAACTACTAGAGAGAAAAATCCATTAAACTGTTCCAAGATCAGATGATGATAGGCTTCCTCTGTAATATCTTTAAAGACCAAGAGCTTGGGGGGCTGTTAATTTCTTGCAAAGACAGAGGCTGTTCACTTACTGCACAGTCATTTCAACATGGCTTAGAAAAGCCTTTCTTGGCAAATCACTTACCTATTCCAGAACTCTGTTATGAAAATCCAGAGCTTATAATATTTTGAAAGGCAAAAGATTGGCTCTCATTACTTCTCATCTGCTTCACTATTGCGTAGTGAATGAGCTTCGCCTGTGGCATGTTGGAATGAGCCTTAGGATCGAAGTATGTTCTCCCCGCATTTTGAAAAATAGTAATGCTTAGCTTCAGACAGATACTGATGGATCACAAAAGAACTGTCTAAAGCAGGCGTTTGCAAACTTTTTTTTGCTAGAAGCCCATTTGTTCAGGAAAAAGATCCGGTAGTCAATTCAACTTAATCTATTCCTACTTTTCTGCAAGAACTTGGGGAACATGCTGTATTTTGCTTTCTGTATACCAGATTTTGGTAAACCATAATAACTCAGTACACAACTTGCTTATCTCTTTTCCGAAATTCCTGGAACCAGAAGTGTTTCAGGTTACAGATTTTTTTCAAATTTTGAAAGATTTGCATATATATAATCAAATATCTCAGAGATGGGACCCAAGTCTACACACACAATTCATTTATGTTTCATACACGCCTCATACGCATAGCCTGAGGGTAATTTTATACAATATTTTTAATTGACTGTTTTTGACTACAACCCATAGACAGGAAACCAGGTGTGGAATTTCCCACCTATACATCATGTTGGTGCTCAAACAATCTCGGATCTTAGAACCTTTCGGATTTCAGAATTTTGGATTAGGGCTGCACAAGCTATAGATTACTAATGATGACGATGGTAACTATATGTAAAAATTAAAATATGGCTGTCATTCCACAAAAAGAATTTTAAATCAGATTTATGTTTTTGGAATAATTCTCAACAATCAGTGATCTAAAACGAAAGACCATTTGCCTGGCCTCTTTCCTCTATTAAAGTAATTTCCTCTAAAATTCGAAGCAGTTGTAACCTTCACAGCACGAGTAGTGGCCTTGACATCTCTGTCTTCTTCCTTTGCAGCAAAATGATAATTTCCTTAAATACTTCTAAAAAAAAAAAAAAAACAAGTCTCTTTCCACATTGCAATAGATGGTATGTTTGCATGTGGATTTGAGTTTTGTTATAGGCTGTGTTTAGACCTGGGTTGTGACTGTTTTTCCAGCCTTTTTCTGAGAAGTGTCTTCTTACTGGCCAGATACATATTCAGCCTTCTGTCCAGAACTTGGATTCTGGCACTGAGATGTTGGCCACATTTTGAGAGTCTTCTGTTCTCTCCCATAAGAGCTCTGCCAGATGTGGATATCCTATTATAGAGGCAAGCATCTAAGAAGAACACGAATATGTAAACCCTCGCTCCTCTTCTGCCTTGATAGGAAAAATCAGTTTCATTGTTGAGAAGAGCTTGGTCCAGGATCTGAATAAGAAAATCCCTTGCCCCACTTCCCTTTCCAGGAAGAGCAACCCCATGGGAAGAATGGTTATCATTTTTCTTCAATAAATTATGGCTCGATGTTTGAGATGATCTTTAAACATCTTTACAGATACATTAAATTTTAGATATGGGAAAGCTTAGAAGCACAGGAAATCTGGCACTAATGACACATCTAATCAAAATAAACAACAAGAGAATCTTTTGGTCATCAGAATAAAACCGTAACAATTATATCCACGTAAAACTATCCATAAATAATTGTTTGCTACACTCTTCTCCAGTCCCCTCTCTCCAGGGAGGTAAACTTACAACATATTTTTCCTTCCCATAGCATGATACACCAATTTTACAAGAAATCGATAATGTCTCCCAAAATTAAGCCAAAGTAGGGTAAACAACATATGAGTTGAATTACTTTTTGCTTATTTCTCCTAAATCTCTGTACCTTTAAGCATGCCAAAAAATATCTAAAATTGCTGCAGTACAGAAAATAATTGTCATATTTATACTCATATGTTTACTGCTTCTATTTGGGGTTGGAGAAATTTGCCCAGAGTAACAATGTCTTCTCTAATATGTTATAAAAAGTTTGGGATTGTCTAAACATCACAAAAATCAGTGTGACATTGTGGGATAGGGGAAATTTGAGCTTATTCTGCAACGCAAACTGCATGCATTGAGAGACCCTGAACCTCATTATTCAAAAATTTCCCCAGATTATGTCAAGGACTTCAGAAAAGCATTTTACTCATCAGTTATCTTTCCTTTTCCTCTCTCATGTCTCCTCCAAGACAGCTTCTACATATAATCACACAGCAAATCTAAAACTCTACAAAATATTCAAAAATAAATACTCCACGGTAGACAGTAGTGTTTGGATAAATAAATATTCTCTTAAGATTTTTCTGTTAGGTCTTACTGTGTGCCAGGAATCTGCAGGAAATTTTGTGCCCATTGCCTCTAAACTCCCTGGAAACTCTGCTACTCTCCTATTATACAGATAAAAATCTGATCATTGTGAGAGGTTAAGGACTTGCCCAAGGCCAAGGGAGAACCATGATTGAAACCTGCATCTCCCTATTCTGAACCTGTACATTTTCCATAGCTCCCCTTCTTCAAAAGAATGGGGGTAAGACTTTTCCCATTTGGATTGGGTGTGCTGAGGATGCCAAGGCACAGCCAAACTTTTTAATGTTTTCTTTCCTTGGGATTTGCCTCCAAATTAACCATGGCAAATGTGCCGCCAAATCTCCAGCCCAGTCAAACTCAAGAGCAGGGCATCCATGGAAGGGTTTGGTGTCTGCACTTGTAACTATCAGACCGTACCACATTTTTAGGAGTTAATGGCCTGGAATGTGATGAAGTCCTTGCAAGGACATACTATGGCATGTTGGGGGAAGATGGGAATGTAAGAGAATGCAGAAGAGGCCACACTGGCCAAGAACAGTTTAATCCCATTGTAGATAGGACACATATTGGGTGTTGTGTTGAAGTTATTGAGGACCAACCACAGTTCATAGAAACTCTTTTTGGGAGGTACATCCCTTTTAAAAATATAAATGAAAACAAATACATCACTCGCTCTCACTCGCCTGTATTCCAACTGTATTTTTTTTAAGTTGGACAGGGGGAAGGGATTATAGATATTTCACCAAGAATTGCAGAGAGCATATCGAGCATGTGAATTTTATGATGTTACCACGGGAAAATGGTTCAGAATGCTGACGTCCCGGTAGCGGAAGACCCAGGCAGTCTTTGCAAAATGAGGCACCAGCTGGAAGCTTTGGCTATGTATCACGTGACATTGCTTGCTCCTAATTTCTTTTCACAAGTGAAAATTGGATATCCCAACCTTCTGGCCCAGTAGGTTTCATGGTTAAGACCTGGGAGTGAGAACATTTTAGGTACTATTTGCTTGGGCAGGTAATTGTTCACTTTTTGATCACGGCTACTTAATAAGAGCTTGACAAACTTTCTCAACTGCTTCAGGGGCTGGTCTTCTCAGGTCCTTTGGCCATAAAAGATGCTGCCTCTGTGTATGAATACTTACTGACTTAATTTAGGAAAAAGCACTGCTCATCAGCACAGGGCGCCCAAGCAGAGGGGAGGTAAACCCTCCAAGAAGAAAACAGATAAAAAGAAAGCAAAGGAGGCAAATATGGAGACATTAGAGGTATGCTCACCAGTTACTCTGATTTTTTTTACACTACTAGGACTTTTAACCATGAAACCACCTGCGCATAGCTCCAGTGGAGCCCAGTTGGAACCCTGTTTGCACCTGCTCCGTGTCTGCAGACTGTGCTGGGGAGCTGGGCTGAGCCAGGCTGCTGTGTGCCCACCATCTTCAGAAAGCAATGGCAGCCGTGGCCTCCTGGCCCTCCAGAGTCCCTGAGAGCTGAGTGAGTGGAGATGACCATTGCGGGGCTGGGCTGACAAAACCAACTTAGGATTTCAGCAGAGGACACCAGTCCCTTGCTGCTGCTCCCACCAGCCTTAGCTTGTTCATGCTCCCCAGACCCAAATGTCATGGAAGAGGGGCTGAGCATGGCCTTATCTGCTCTATGCAGGAAAATGTCATTTCTACTTTGCTGCTGCAACGTGGGTTGCTAGTTCTCACACCTAAAACAAGGTTGTGGTGTTTGTGGGTGGAAGGGTTTAGCAGCAGAAAGATTTACCACAGACATTGCTCAAAGCAGGATGCTTGAGTCATGCCTTGCTGCAACTGACAAGCAAGGAGCTGCCCTAAAGCTTGTGGCTTATTCATTTCAAAAGACAGAATAATTGCCTTCCCTTTCCGTGTGGCTCAGGAGTTATTACTTTACTTTTTCACCATATCATCGTCAGTGAAGCCACATTATAAGCTGGAAATGAATATTGCTAAACTATGAAAACTACAGGCTTAATTAGGCAGAAAATCTAAGAGCAAATGTACACTGTATTTGAAGTTAAAAAAACATGAAGGCACTGACTTCTTCAAAAGCCTGGATTCCATAGGTGCATTCAAATGCAGTAGAGAGAAAGCTAAGACAAAAAATCCCAACTTGAGTTTACTATTTCTGTCCATTTATATAGCACTTTATATTTGTCAAAGTAATTTTGCTTATCTTAAGTCATCCCTGTGCAGTAGAAGGAGAAGAAACAGATTACTGCCTACACTTTAGCATCTAAAGAAAAGAGGAGGTGGGAGATTTAAGGGTTTCTTGGAATATCCCCAAATCCAGCGTCCGACTCCTTTTTCCACGGCACCTCAGTGTTTCCCAGGTCCACTGTGTTTTCCGACACTCTGACTTTCATATCTCACTCATTTGTCCCTGACCTATAATTTCATCTCTATTGGCACCTTCTCTCCTGTCGTATCTCTGCCATGGCTGGGCAGCACCGCACTGTTCCTGGGGCTGAGGGCATATTTGTCTTTGCTTCTGTGATTGACTGAAAGACACGCACATGTGATTCTGTTCTTTATCCCTAGATGGCAGCAGCAGAGCCAAGGAACTAGGCAGGGCAGGAGGCTCTTGGTTTGTTCCACAGGGTGACAAGTAAGGCAGTGATCATCACCTTACTGTCCTCAGGAACGCAGAGGTCCCAAAGGGAGTTTGGGGAATAATTCTTTTCCCGGTCAGCCTGTGGGTCATTGCATACACAATGGTCATCACCAGCAGCAAACAACCTCTCCTACACCGCACCCTGCACTTGGCATGAAAAAGACAGAGAGGCACAGAGAGTCCCTAGCCTACAAGCTGGATGGAGTCCATGTTCATCTGTTCCAAAGCCAAAAATGCATTTTTCCAAGAGGCATTGTTATAAATGGAAGAGGGGAAGGATGTTCCCAGATGAGCCAAAAAAAATCTATTTAATGTACATTAGGAGTTTGCAAACTTTTCCTATGTGTGACTAGATAGTAAATATTTTAGGCATTGTGGGGTCATACAGTCTCTATCACATATTCTTACTTGTTTTGACTTTTTGCAGGGAGGGAGACAACCCTCCAAAATGTAAAACAAAACCCTTCTTCTCTCAAACAAAGCAAAACAAACAGAAAACCAGACTGCAGGGCAGAGCGAGCTCATGGGCCATAGTTCGTCATCACGATCTGTGCCGTTACTAGCTGACATTATAGCACAGACGATGCTAAACAATGGGATTCGGTGTTCAAAATACAAATATGTTTTAATATGCCATTGACACATCTCCACTTAGCTAAATTCATGTTCCCAATCTGCATGAGTCATTGGATAAAGTGACAAGTCCACATTCAGAGTGGGCCCATTCCATGTATCATTTGACCTTCCAAGCAGGCATCAGGGTAAAAGGTGAGCACCTGTCACCCCCCCACCACTGCTGTCCTCTGAAGAGTCGGAAGGTCTACTGGAGCCCAGGGGGGCCTCAACATTGTTCAGCTCCTTGCCCCATCAGGGAAATGCCCAAAGCACAATCTGGCCGACCCTAAGAGTAGCAACAATAAATACACACCTCTTGACCAAGGCCAACCTGAAATTCCTCCAAGACCCTTGGAACCTGCCCAAATGGAGGGCCCCAGAGGCCCCCCAAAGAATCTCCACGTCACACTTGGCTCCTTGGGAAGACCTCCTGAACATGGCACCCCACACCAGGGCATTTAAGGGCCTGCCTGGAGCTCACCAGGAAGAGTCATGGGTTCAGAAAGTATGCCTGATACAGTGGGGCATTTTCAAAAGACAGATAGGATTCAGAATTGTTCTCTCCTCCTTTTCCTTTTCCTCTTCCTCCTCTTCCTCCACTTCTTTCTTCTTTTCTTCTTTTTCTTTTTTCTTTGCCTAACTGGAATAGAAATGACATAACTATGGGGAAGCATATTTAGTCTTCCCCTGGGGATACCAGATTCACGTCTCCCTGAGCTGACACACTTTGTCAGAGGGACTTGTTCCTTCCTCTCTCCAGTCCTGATGGGCAACGAGGAAGAGAAAGACTCTCCTGATCAGAAATAAAGTGCTGTTCCTGCAGCCAAGGGCACAGTGTCCAGTGTTGAGAGAGGAGACTCCACGGCAGGGCTCTCGGGTGGGGCATGGATGGTGGTGGGTGCAGAACTGATATGGAAGAACCTGGAAATACTGAGGCCATTCAGAAATTATACCTCTATTACCTTGGGATGATGCTATGTGACAGCCTCCCCTACCTTCCCTTCCTATTGGTCTTGATCCTGAGCCCTTTCATCTTTCCCACCTCCTTTCCTGATGCTGTCCTCTCCATAATTCCACCCTCCCCTTCTTGCTAAACTTACAAACAATGAAAAAGGCTGGGGTGGGTGTCCTTGCTCCAGAGGGTGCCATTTCCCATGGAATCCATGCTCTGGGTGACAAGACGGGGCTGACCTCAGCAACTCCATCCCCTTCCCAGGTCAGCCAGACTCTGTAAGCTCCAGGCCCACAGCATCCAGAGAGCTCAGGGCAGGAGACGGTGCCAAGAGAGTGAGGACATTCTGAAGGCCCCCAAGGACTTTTATCCTCTGCTTGCAGTGCTGCCTTTCTGTTTGTATACAATTACTTCTAATAAAAGGTATAAACAATGTGCAGCCACATTTTAGAAAAGAGCTGGTGGTCAGAGTGAGTGGTTGCAGTATTTCTATCAGCCCCACAAAGTATGCACCTCTTACCACTGTCTAATGGTTCAAAAGTCTCTACTGAGCCCAACAAAGTCAGCTTCTCTTTCTCTTCTTCTGCATTTTCTGTCTCTTGCCTTTCTTGTTCCTTTCCTGTTGACTTTCCCTCTTAAGAATGCTTGAGGGCCTTCAAGGCCTTTGATTAATCCCATAAAGTAAACCTGGTTTTATGTTGGCATCAAGCAATGCTTAACCCATCGGAATGTATACCCTAAGCAGAAGTGTCAGCCAGGCAGCAAAGCTGGTTCTTTCTCTTCTGGTACTCTGCTCTTTGTCCCTGTCTCCAGCAGCCCATCTGCTACTGGACCTTGTTAACGGAGTCCTTCCACCAACTCATCATATTCTTGTTCCAAGAACTTTTCCACTTTAATAAAGGATCTTCCACCAACCAGTATGCTCCTGCTTTTGCAGATGCAGCACAGTTCCATGCGTTTGTATCCTGCCACCCATACTAGTGTCCTAGGCCAGTCATAACAAACAAATGGGATGGCTTCAACAACAGAAATGTATTATCACACCATTGTGGAGGCTGGAGAGTCCAAGATCAAGGTGTTGGCTGGTTGTTTCTTCTGAGGCATCTCTCTGTAACTTGCAGATAGTTACCTTCTCCCTGTGTCTTCATGTGGTTTACCCTCTGTGCATTTCTCGGTCCTAATTTCTTATTATTAAGACACCTGTTTTATTGGATTAGGGTCCACCCTCATCACCTCATTTAACCACACCATGCCTTTAAAGGCGCTATCGCTGAAAACCGTCACATTCTGAGGTCCTGGGGGTTAGGACTTCAACATAGGAATCTGTGGGAGACTCATTTGAGCCCATAAGGACTCCCTCCTCACTTTCATTTCTGCCCATACGAATTGTACCCATAATTCTTTTCCCATATCAGAAGTTTAAATTCGGCCCTTTTTGATCATCCCAATTTCTCTCCAAGTACTTATAGCAATTGTCTGTAGAACATATTTGGCAACTAATTCTGTACTCTATTGTAATCTTTCTATTGTTTCTAAAAGACGGTATCTATTTAAAGTATTTTAAAGGATACCTTGTATACACGGTACTTAAGTAAGTTCTGTCTTCTCAACTAGAGGAGAACTCCTGGATGGCAGCAATGTTCTGTCACTCAGCATGCCCACGGCAGTACTCCAGCCCAAAGCAGGCATGGAGAGGGGGGTGCACAGCAGAGCAAGTAATCAGATCCAACCACTAGTTACAGACACCGACTGGGAGGCCAGTCCCCAGGGACCTGGAAACATCAGACAATCCACCCAGAAAGGCTCAGGCTGATGACCCTGATGATTCTTAGGGACAGTAAGATCCCAGTTAGGTGTGCAGAGCACAGCAGTGGGGAACCCCAGGTCAGCAGTGGGAAATCCCAGACATCTTAAGTCAGATGGGCGTATGCTCACCCAGAGACCATCTTTACCCAAGAAAGCAGAGCCCCATCCTTAAATAAGACAGACCCTAGACTCCAAGGGGAGGGTGAAACAGAACAAGATGGGATAAGAACCAACAGCAGAGCCCAGTCTTGGGAACTGGGGCATTGAGGACCACATGAGGGCCTTATGATCACCCCTGGGTCTCCATGCCAGCGATAGGTGGATTAAGGGTATGTCAGTGCTGTCTGCCCTGTATCAGTATTGGCTTGAAAAATGGGTGCCAAACAGCCTCAGGTAGTTTTTCCTCTACCCTTCTTATAGCCTAAGAAAGACAGAAAAGAGGAAAGGAAGCTGCACTGTTTGGATTCAATACAAGGACATAGACAGCCAGGCCCTGCTAAAAGCTGTCTTAATTTCAACCTTCTGAAGACCACCTTCCACTCTAAAAGCCTAAGCCCTCATGAGCACAATGAGATAGTCCTGCTGCACAGCTGCCCACTCTGCCTGGTCTCAGGGCATCCTTGCACCTCTTGAAAAATCCCATGCCATTTCCACTTAATCACCCAACCCAAGCCCCTTGTATTGCCCTCATAGTGTTTCCCTGACAGCCACAGAGTGATATATTCTCTTCTGCCCTGGTTCCTGAGAAACGACACGCATTTATCCTCATTTGGAAGAATCAGGACTGTGCTAACTGCATGGCATCTGCTGTTGTGTTTGCTGGGCAAGAGACAATGCCGCTGTGGCCTCCTATCCCCCTCCTCCCTCCCTGGGGACTCTCAGGTTGGAAGTGTTTCTGGCTCCACAGTATCAATCACATCAGAACACCCTTGCTGTCTAGAGTCACGTGCTTCAGTCCAGTCTGGAAACAACAGGGGGAAAAATCACAACAAAAGGCAAACCCTACAAAAGTATTCAGTCTATTCAAGCCAGAAGCCATCCAAAACCAGGTTCAAATAAGTACAGCAATGGCTTACTGATTTATCCTTAAAAATTGCATTTCTTCCCCTCCCTTGTCTTCATTCCTGTTGTTAAATGCAGCCTTATCTTTCATAATGAAAAGACAGGCTAATTGAAGTGTCAAGTGATGGGAGGGGTGGCCCATTAGTCAAAAGCTGAGCAGCGGGCAGAGTGCTTCAGGCCCCAGAGTGCCTCCCCGCAGTCAGTCCTGGAGTCATGACAGAGGTGACAGTGGTCGTAAAGAGCAGAGAAGGAGGGAACCTTGATGAATGGGATGCTGGATGAGCAGCTTGAATCTACAAATAAGAATGCTCAAATTCAATCTGACAAGTAAAAAGCTATTAAAAAGAACACCTGTGAAGTATTTTTAAGATCAAAGCAAGCATTACAAATATTTAAATAACAATTTATTGCTAGTTTTCTACATACTTAAAAAAAAAGAGTCCAACTTTTATTAGGAAGTAATTGAGTAAAAACTGAGGTCCTTGCTTGCCCTCATCTCCATTCCCAGCAGCTTTCCTGGCCCCATCTTCCTCTTCTGAACATCACATACAACCCTGATACCTAAACTTCAGTAAGTGCGAGCTGACATTCGTGCAACAGAAATTCTGCCTCAGCATTTAAAGCCGGATCAAAAACACATGCTTTCTTCATCAGATGTGAGGGAAAACAAACTATTTTTATCCCTAGGTATAACAAGTCACAAGCAATTTGCTCTCCAGTATTAACACAGAAACGTATCCCAACAATGCTGACAACAAATCATTTTGCTCCCTATGATGATTTTTGCAGAACTAAAGTTTAAAAAGTAAAAATCATATTTTTGGAGTATGTACTACATGCCAAGCTTTTTGGTAAGGTATGAGATTTCATAGTCACATTACAAAAGAAATATTTTCCCAGAGAATAAATACAACAATATGGGTATGAGAAGAGTAAAGAGAGTCAAGTCTGCAGGGAGTTTTGAAAAAAGAGAAAGACTGGAAAGAATTGCTCTCTCTTGTATGTTCTCCTGGTGTGCTCCTGTGCTCACCTCTTAGCTTGCTAAACACAACCTTCCCACCGCCACCCCAAGGCCCATGCTAGGAAGGGCACTGGAAGGACCTGGAAAATGGAGTTGAGAGACAGCCGATGATAGACTGAAAGCCACACACCTGGGCTTAATTGCAGTCCCCATCTCTAACTATTTAAGTAGCCCTAAACTACGCATGTGACCTCTCTTGAGCCATTTTCCTCACCTGTGAAATGGGATTAGCGGATAACATGGTGTACATGAAACGCTCATGAGCTGATAAAGCTATGAAATCATGGTAGGCCCCCAGTAAATGCTCGCACTCTTTCCCCATCTTCATTTCCCCTCTCAAATGCTAGCTAAACAAGACGCAACTATAACTTAGATCACGGGTAAGGTATCTTCAAGCACTGAAAGTGCCACGTGCAGGAAAAGGGAAAACGAGTCCTTCACTTTCCTTTGCTCTTTATCTCACTTCAGGTTTTCATTTCCAGGAGTTGGTCATCCCCACCTGAAGACATTCATTTCTCTGTCATTAGAAAGCAGGTCCCAAAGCACCTGCGGCACCACAGCTTGGGTCCTGCCATTCCTACATTCGAGGTGCTAGGCACTGAATCCCAACGCTCAGTTACTCCACACACTACACTGTTTTCTTTGGGTTGGAAATATCCCCACTTGGGAAATCTGTCTCAGCTTTTAAAAATCAGACAAACTGCACTACATTGAAGATTTCCACCAAGCACTCTGAATTGTAGACAACCCTGAACAAGAGTGTCCAAGGCTGGTGTTTGTCATCTTTCTCACATTGGCTACTTGCTTTGCAATAGGAGGTATTTTAAATTATCATAGTTGTCCTATGAAGGATACTACATAAAAGGCCATCATTATAGAAAATGTGTGTGTGTCTGCCTGTGTGTGTGTGTGTGTGTGTGTGCATGTGCATGTGTTTATATAACTAATGTTATGGAAGAGAGAAGTGGTTGTGATCATGGAAGACAGTACAGCATTTGAAGCAAAGCTTAGATGTAAAGTCATCTAAGGAAATAGGGCTGAGCATCTCTTGGCTTGGGCAACTGTTGGAAGTAAATGTTTAACAAGATAAAACAGCAAATTCCCAATCGTGAACAGAGGCCATTTTGATTTCACTGCAAATTGAAATCTCTCTCATGGAAGCTCCAGGTCACAATCTCAGTGTTAATTTCAGGTTCTGCTAGTCGAGTCTAGACATCTCTAGCGCACCCTTTAAGGGTCTCCAGGAGATTTCTAGAGAGGTGTCTTCACAGGGAAGTTCACACTGCAAGCTCAGCTCACCATGACTCAGGCTGCCGGGGCAGTCAGCCATGCTTGGAGGCTGAATTTGGCAGGGACTTGCTGCCATCTCCCTGCCAAACGGTCTCTCATGACTCCAAATCTCAAAAAAAAAGTCACTTTCGGGGATGAGGTTCTTGGCCCAACTCTGCTTTATATAAACACAGTCTATGGCTATTTCAGTCTTCTGGATTTTGAGAAGCAGCTTCAAGGATGAACGGATTGGTTTTGGCCCAAATTAAAAAGAAGAGTGTTCAGTTCTGTCAGTGTTTGGGGAAAGAAGACCAAAAGCATCATCTCACAGGGAGCAGAACGTGATCAGCCTGGCTAATGAGGAAATTAGAGGGATTCACAATTTAAGAACTCACTCTACCAAAGTCTGAACTTGTAAAAATGGATACATTAAGTTTGGTGTAAGAATTCTTACTCTATAGAAAGATAAATTATAATCATGTTGATGCATGATGCCTAGGATCTTAAAAATGCATGATTAATTAAAGGTTAGCCAACCTTGTGTTTTAAAGGGACACACACCCATGACATGAAGCCAGCTTCCTGTCTACAACTGTTGTCCTTACTGCCCAAGGAAGGGGAGCATGAAACCCACCACTTGTCCTGCTACCCACTGTCTTTGGAATCCACCCCAGGAGCCCAGGAGCCAGGAGCCTTGCCTGACACATGGATTTACTTCTTTATCAAGCATCCATCTGACTAAGACACAAATCCAACATGTTACTGTTGCTCATGCAGGAAAAACAGTAACTTAATGATGATTATGATTATGAATTAATGATTAGGAATGAGTAGGAATGCTAAGGGAAAGAAGAAAAGAGCGTTTGGGGACAAAAAGCTTGATTTTTTGCAAATCAGTTTAGTACAACCTCCCTCCCCCATTTCATTCTTAAAAGTTAATTAAGAATCATCAGCCACATGTAGGGTGTTGGAAATTCCGTAAGACACCCAAGTTTCTTCAATAAGTAAATGGCATTTTAAAAAGGGAAACTTACGGGTTCAATTATTCTTAAGAGATATATTCATCAAGTATAATGCATAAGCTTTGTTGGTTTAGATCTTTATTAAAACTAAGTGTAAAAAGTCACTTTTGAAGTAATTGGAGAAGAGTAAGCATAGGCTGGGTCCTATTTGATGTTAGATAATTAGATGGTTACTTTAAATTTTGTTAGATGTGATAATGGCATTGTCCTTAACTGGTAGGTACACATCGAAGTATGTTTACACTTTGCTTTAAAATTTTCTTGCCAAAAGTGGGAAAGCAATGGTGATAGGTGAAATAAGAATGGCAGACAAGGCCACACACAGTTCTTCCATAAAATATTTCTAAAAGAAAAAGAAGTTAGGCACTTTTCACTTGTAAAAGTTAGTGTCCCTCAAATTCCAGAACATTCATAGACATGTAGCTCATGCTGCAAAACAAAAGCCCCCTCATTCAAAGAGAGCTGTTGTTGCACTCTCTGCTCTCTCATTTCTTTATTCACGCTATAACATTCAGCGAGGGCTGACTGTGCTCCAGGGCCAAGTCCAGGAAATGGAGAATAACAAGAGCAGAGACAGAGTCCTTGCCCTCCAAGAACCTACGGGATTGATACAGGGCCATGGGAGCTTGGTGAAGGGCCCCAGCAGGCTGCAGAGTTAGGATTCTCAAAAGTGGTGATCTCTATGGTGAATCCTAGAGGACACAAGGGGGTGGGGAACAGAAGCAGTTGTTCCAGGCAAGGAAGGAAGGAATCTGTGCAAACGCCTAGGGGCTGGTGAACCTCGGGTGTGTGCTGGGGGTGCTGCCTCCTCCCACAGCTCGGGGCACAGGGAAGGCAGTCTTCCTTATCATGGTGGTCACTTGGCTGTACAAGCCCCCATTCCCCAAGTCCCCCCCAGGCAAACCACACAACTGCTCTTCTTCTCACTCTTTTTTTAAGCCAAGAGAGAATCACTGAAACAGCCAGCCATTGGTGAGTCCTGGGCTCTCCTGACAGTGACTGTGTTTCGTTTGGCTGAAAATCACAAAGCCTTGTTTTCCCAGTTTTCTGATTCTCTTTGTTCTCAAGGCTTAGTGCAGCATTACAATGGGATGGCTAAACAGAAAAAAAAAAAAAAAGGAGAAGGTCTATTTTTCTCTTCACACAAATAAATATTTGCTCAAGAATGGAGGTGCCTAATTCTTAAGAATAACCAAATGCTTTGGATGTCTTAACAAGCAAAAATCATATGCAAGGCAATTCAGTGTTACTACTTATTGAGGAATTGTTTTTAGCAAGAAGATGTTATGCAGCATGTTTTTAAAAAACAAGTTTTTCCAACAACAACAAAAAAAAAAAAACCACGCAGAAAATAACTGAATCACTATAATATTCCCAAAGGCTGGCTTTTACATCATCAAAGGGTCACATCTCATACTACACTGAAGCATATAAGAGTGTCGGGGCCGGGTGCAGTGGCTCACGCCTGTAATCCCAGCACTTTGGGAGGCCTAGGTGGGCGGATCATGAGGTCAAGAGACTGAGACCACCCTGGCCAACATAGTGAAACCCTGGCTCTACTAAAAATACAAAAATTAGCTGGGCGTGGTGGCACACACCTGTAGTCCCAACCACTCAGGAGGGTGAGGCAGGAGAATCGCTTGAACCCAGGAGTCAGAGGTTGCAGTGAGCTGAGATCCGGCCACTGCACTCCAGCCTGGCAACAGAGTGAGATTCCATCTCAAAAATAACAAGAGAAAGAAACAAGAGTGTCTACTTGTGTTACAAATGGAGCAAAGGTGTTTGGGGAAATGGAAGCAAAAGGGACAGACTTGAAGCTGCACTTTTGCAATCAACTAGCAATTTAGAAGGATTTGACTTTCTGGGGCTAAGGAAAAAAAAAATTGGAGGTTCATTTTGCCTGTGAAATTAAAATTATATTTTAGTAAACAAAGCTGACGCCATTTAACGGTGAACCCCGTGACATTTCCTGGCTTGCTGCAGCATTTCTGCTCGTCTCCTTGTTACGTTTGTTCAAAATACAAACACAGCATTTCCACGTTGCCAGAGAAGCAAATGTGGGCTGACTGGCTGATTTTAGCTGCTATGGTTTTTCTGTAACCTTTAGCAATTGTTGTGACAAATACCATCCCTGTAAGCTGCAGTTTCTAACTGTGCAGCATTTGTGAACCATGTCCACCTTCTCCAGGTTTGGTATTTGGTCGACTAAGTTGGCAGTGTCATTAACTTTTCTTCCATTTTACAAAAATAAAAAAAGTTAATCTGAATCGTGCGGAGAGTTTGGTATGTTCTCTATGTCAGAATAATATATTTATGTGTGGAAATTGTTACACTTGAATTTGTGGTAACATTTTGTATCAATGCATATACATGACACCCAGGCTGACTGCAATGGCTTCAAAGCATTTAACTTCTCTTAAATGGACTCAATATCCTTGGAATGTGCTGTTTAAGTGTTTCTGGATTTTCTACCTGCCATTTTTACAGGTCTATCTGTTTATGATGTGATGTGGTAAACAATCACGTTGGTTTTATGTTTCTTTTCAAAGAAAATGAATGTATATAGTACTAAGCAGATGAATAAATTATTGAAAAAATATACTTCATGGATCATGCCCACTGATAAATTTATTTGTTGAAAGTGACTGTTCAAATTATAAGAATTTATATTGTCCTTATAAATACGGATGCCATCTATTTAAGTGTTGTTCAATATTGATATGTGTTCTCTAATAAAATATTTTAAACCTCTTTCTTTAAACACATAACACCCTAGTTCTTCGATCATGGTGTGTGGTTAATGTCTCTCGAGAAATGGAGTGGGTAATGCAGACAAAGAAAGTTGGTGTCTCCAGCCCCCTAAATAGGGCAGATCGTAATAGTGTGCCAAGTGTCCTTTGCTTCTTGGATGAATTAAGATTTATTTTAAGATTTGTCTTCATTTATCCTTTTGTAAGTAGCACTTTTTTTGTTACAGAAATCACTCATGTATTATAGAAAATGTAGAAAACAAGTATAGGAAGAGCAAAATATAAGGTGACTTCCAGAGATAACACTATTGTTTTCTTCAAGAATCTCGTTTTAGAGTGGGTGCAATGGCTCACATCTGTAATCCCAGCACTTTGGGAGGCTGAGCGGGCGGATCACAAGATCAGCAGCTCGAGACCATCCTGGCTAACATGGTGAAATCCCGTCTCTACAAAAAAATACAAAACATTAGCCAGGCATGGTGGCAGGCACCCATAGTCCCAGCAACTTGGAAAGCTGAGGCAGGAGAATCACTTGAACGAGGGAGGCAGAGGTTGCAGTGAGCCGAGATCAAGATTGTGCCACTGTACTCCAGTCTGTGCAGCAGAGCCGGACTCCAGCTCAAAAAAAAAAAAACAAAAACAAAAAGAATCTCATTTAAAAATATATATATAATCCTCACTTTAAAAAATAAAATAGAAACTATACTGCAAAAAAATAATAGATATGGTAGATAGGACATAGGGTGTGCAGGGGCTGCATTCAAGATATGCACAAGGACCAGAATACACTTGGATCTTCAGGTGTACAGGCAGGGAGCAGGGGAAGGTGCTATTAGAAGTCTGACACATGAAAATGTTGGATGTGTTCAGGGCAGGACATACAAAGTTACCCAAAACCATGGCGATAGGTCATGAGGGCAATGGTTAGAGAAGATCAGGGACCACACAGCTGCAAAGAAAGGGGAGGGAAGGATAGGAGAGCGGAGGGGAGCGGAAAGAAAAAGAAATTATTTAGGCAGTTATTAAAAATAAAAGAGCTCTCGGTGGCATTTCTTTTTAAGAGCAAGCAGCCCAAAATCATTTCTTTTCTAACAAAAAGCAGCCTGAAAAATCAAGCTGCAGGCATAGATAAGCAAGCTGGAAGCTTGCATAGATAAATGCCAGCAGCTGTACCAATAAAAAAAAAAGGGCTGGCGGGGCGAGGTGGCTCACGTCTGTAATCCCAGCACTTTGGGAGGCCGAGGCGGGTGGATCACGAAGTCAAGAGATCCAGACCATCCTGGTCAACATGGTGAAACCCCGTCTCTACTAAAAATACAAAAAAGTAGCTGGGCATGGTGGTGCATCCCTGTAATCCCAGCTACTCAGAAGGCTGAGACAAGAGAATTGCCTGAACCCAGGAGGCGGAGGTTGCGGTGAGCCGAGATCGCGCCATTGCACTCCATCCTCGGTAACAAGAGTGAAACTCCCGTCTCAGGAAAAAAAACAAAAAAAGGGTTACCTGGAAGTCAGGTATATTCCGGGAGGTTTTCCCTTCCCTTTTCTTTGTTGCCACTTGTGCTGGTAACCTGGCTTGGGCCAGGTAACAACCTCATTTGCATAATAAAAGATTAGGGTGGGATGGCCACCCTCCTCCAGCACTATGTAAATAGCACACTTGGTCTAACCAATCCTCTATGCCCTATGTAAATGAGACTCTACCTCCTCAAGCTCATCTATAAAACCAACCAACTCTTGCCCCAAACCTGGCAAGAGGCTCCTTCCTCTGCACAAAGAACCTCTCTCCTTTCTTTCACCTATTAAGCTTCTACTCTAAAACCCACTCCCTGTGTGTCTGTATCTTCAGTTTCCTTGGCGTGAGACCATGAACCTCACGTATTACCCCAGACCAATGGCACCACTTCAATAGTGCCCTATCTCTTAAAATTTGATTTGGGTTTTGCCAGATGGCGTCATGTGCTACAGATGCCATTTTGGTCACAATTCAGGCTCAATCGGCATGACTCTGGCCTTACTCCCAAATCCCCAGAGAGGCTGGAAAAGGGAGGGCAGGTGCAGGGTGGGAGGGCAGGTGCAGGGTGGGAGGGCATCCTAAGGTACATTTAAGTTTGCAATTGTTCAAGCTCTGTTTTCGTGGAGGTTGCAAGTAGCATAACTGGTTTGTAGACTAACACAACTGGATTATTCTGACGACTTCTCTTTTTAACTCATCTATCTTTTACCCTGGGCTGCAGACTGTGGAAGAGAGATGAAGTAGAGATAACATAGTTTGCCACTCACTGGCTTCTGCGAAAGTAGAGAAGTATTTAGAAGTAGGTGACTGCAATGATGTTAGGACCAAATCTCTGCTATGTGTTCCTTCACGGCAGTGCTAACATCTACCATGTAAAGCCCTGCCCTGACTGGTCCAAATGCATCATCTCATTTAACCCTCACAACAATCCTATGAGAAAGTGCTAAAAATAAATCGGGGCACATTTGGCTACAAGTAACAAAATAGCCAAATAAAAGTGGCTCACATGTAAGAAATCTGTTAATACTATTATCAATACTTTGACCTGGAAGCATCCATCTTTGCCAAAATGCTCTCCAGTCAAACCTCCTGGGTTTGAATCCTATCTAGTGATTTGTTAGAATATTTGCTAATGAGTTCTCTGGGGGGAAAAATATATATAATATATATATATGCAATATAAATATATATAATATATACAATATAGATATATATCTATTATATAAATATGTATAATCTATATATTATATAGATAATTTTATATCTATATTATGTAATATAGATATTATTTTTCCCCCAGAGAACTCATTGGCAATAATTATATATATAATATATATATATTATATATATATAAAATTGACAAAATGCCACAGATCATGCAGTAATATATATATATATTACCCAGGAAATAAATATATATAACCACATGATCTGTGGCATTTTGTCAATTGTGGGGATGTAAAGTCTCCCACAATGGCCAAATTCAAGCTAGCAACATGGTGGTGCTAAACACACTGTTGGGAAGAGATGTGCACAGTCAGTTCTCAGAAACCTGTACAAGCCAACTTCAGCACACCACTGATCCCACCCCCTTCCCCTTAGCAGTATGTGACCTAAGCCTACCTGAGTAGGGAGGAGGGAGAAGGGGACGAAAACTCCAGCCCAGATAGCTTTCTTGTCCCTTTTACTGCATAAGTTTCCAGTGAGGACATGTCCTCCTATGAACCAGAAAATGGGCCTTTACGAGACACCAAATCTGCCAGTGCCTTGCTTTTGAACTTCCCAGCCTCCAGATCTGTGAGAAATAAATTTCTGTTGTGTATAAGCCACCTATTTACGTTATTTGGTTACAGTAGCCCAAATAAACTAAGACAAGAACAAATTTCAACACTTACATGCCTCTAGCCCCATGAACCAGACACTAATGAAAAAGCTGAAAATGAGAGTACAGTCATAACCAGGTTTTCTTCTCGAAGGGAGGCCCTGATCATAAAGCAATGGAGATGGGAAATGAGTGAGAAGAGTGGAATCTTCCCCACTAAGAATACGTAGTCCAAGAACAACCAGCCAGATTGTGCATTCCTTTTTGGTTTGGGTGGTCCATTGAGGAGTCATAAGGTCAAGGATAGCAGTGAAAGCAAAGGCAGAAATTTCTTCCTCTCTGTAAGCAAATACAAAGTAAAGCAGATAGTCTTCCTGCCCTCTTCATATAAATGCCACATGTGGATATAAATTGAAAAATAATAGTTTCACCAATCTCTAGTCCTACTTAGAGGTATAGGACTCACATACCACTTTCTTGTGAGTTCGCAGATTAAATGCATAGCGATTAAAAATGTATTACATGCCAGGCATCACCTTTGACCACATTAGTGAACAAATAATAAAAACATAAGACTTGCTGTATGAAGCTAACATGCTAGAACATCTTCCAGAAATGCTCTATGATCATGCAAACATGTGAATTGCTTAAATATCTTTATAAAAACAGAATGAGCCAGGTATTGATTGGTTATGTTAGATGCATCTCTATAGATCAGTGATTGAGCCATCAGCCCCTGATTATCCTAGATCCCTGGGTTTTTGCCATAACAAACGCACCACAAAGTTAAAGCAAAGTCCAGTCCCCTGTCCTTTGGAAAGTTAGAGTTTGATATTACAGGTCCTACAAAACAACTTAGAGCTTATTTTAGAGCTTCTAGTATTTTTAGGGGCCATAAGTGTATTTCAATAGTGTTGACACTGCCTAAAATATTTTTGAAACTCTTTTGAGACTGCCTTCAGAGTCAATTTATGTGTGGTACCTCCCCCCAACAAATTCTTTATTTACTTACTATTGCGAATAATACTAAACTTGACCACAAAACATTTTTCTCCAATACAAAAGGTAAGCGTCACTTGCTGAAGGGACAGCTTCAGAGGTCCTCTCTGGTTGAGTCTGTAGGTGACTGGTATCAAGACATTGGCCAGATAGCTCTGTCATTCTGTTGGCCAAACACAAGCTGGGAGGGTCAAACCACTATAAAAAGCCATGTCGAAGAAATTCAGTGGAAAAAATTAGGTCAATGGTTTTTCAACTTTTTTTTTTAACAGTGCAATCCTTTCTTTGGATGAAATCTTACTCAGAAGCTCAATATGCAAAAGAAAGGAAAACAAAGCAGTTCTGGACTGACACTGGGAGTAGGGTAAGACCCCACCCACTCAGAACCAACCCCCGACACACACACACACACACACACACACACACAGACACACACACACACACACACACAGACACACACACACACACACACAGAATCTCTATGGGTGACTTCTGAGGGGCCTCTAGAGGGCACATAGGGCACTGTGGAGCACGGTTTAAGCACCACTGGACTACAAATCCTTCTGGGGCAGTTAGTTATCTTACCTTCCCATAAACACCCAGCCCATAGCCATTGGTCAATAAAGATTTCCCAAATGAGAAAGGGGATCGGATAGTAAATAGCTATTGAAGGGTTAAAAGGGGTGGGGTGCTCTCAAAAGAGGCTACTAAGAAACAACGGAAAATCAATGACCAAAGATTATTAGCAACCAGTGGTTCATATCTGCAAGAACGATTCCTGAAGGTTGAAATCCAAAGCAGGCAAAAGTTTTTGAAAGCTGGGGAAAAACACAGATGGAGAATCCTAGCACTCTTTGAATTAATAACATGAATGAGTAGGAGGCAGCCCGTGGTCTCGGGGGATGGGATGATGGTAACTGATGAGAGGAGGAGGCAAATACTCCAATTTCATTTTGCTCCCTTCTCCTCCAGCAGAGATCATACTCTATCTGAAGACTAGAAAAGTAACACACGTGGATTAAGTGGACGTACATGGGAAGCATGACCAAGGCAGGTGCTGGGGGTTGGTCAGGAGGGCCCTGGCTCTGAAGCCATTCTTAAGGGTACCAGTAGAGGAGGAGGACCAAGGAATGGGTCTCTGAAGTGCCCAAGTGATGCTCTTCTCCACCTTCCCTGGGCAAGCTCTGAATACACTGCTATGTACAGTTAGCCAACACTCAGCTGTGGCCTACCAGGGCAGGCATTGCTCCAAATGTTGTACATACACTGACTCATGGAATGCTCCCAACAGAACCATGAAGTCGATTCTATTGTTTCCTGTTTTCATACAGAAGGAAAACTGAGGCTCAGTGGAGTTTAGAGATTTGCAAATTTTTCACATAAAAAATTTTCGCTAAAGGAAACTGCTGCTCCCTGGAGGCAGCTCATCCCAAATGATAAAACGAGTCTTAGAGCTGAGCCTACCAGTTTATTTTGTTCAGATTCACCATCAGATTAAGCTACTCACTCCTTCACGGGATGGGTGGAAGAAAAGTTGAGGAGTGAGCAGGACCCACTCCCCCTAACAAGGAGCACGCAGGGAGCTAGGAAAGGTCAGGGCAATGGTGGGACCCAAAGTTGGGTAGGAAGCAAAATTCAGAACAGGACAAAGAGCCAGCAATAAAGCAAAGTGGAGAGATTGGATCCCTGCAAATGGTCTAAACCAGGAGATAACCTGAGATTCGAGAAGCTACGAAAGGTGGAACCAAGAGCTGAGCAAAGGGTCAGCAACCAGGGCATGTATTAGGTGGCTTCAAACACCTCCTTGTGATAGGCACTTTACACACCTGTCTAACCTACTCTTCACAGCCAACTTTTAAAGTCCAGAGTATGTTTCTTTTACAAATGAGGAAACTGAGGCACAGTGCAATTAGCACCTGCTCAGTTTCCAGCTGTCCAGGGCCAGCATAACGTTTCTTCTCTCCCCACAGCAAACTCACTTCTTGCAAAGAAGAGAAACTTGCTACAATGCAAAATATTCAAATGCTATCCTAAATTACAGTGTGGCTTTTCAAATTCTCTGCTTTGTATAATAAAGCTTCTAGTAAAATGTTTAATATGGTTTTTCTCCAAAAGCATATTAACTACCCACTTCTGATAATGTTCTAACATCCTGAAATCAAAGCACACAGAGATAGATTGATAGACAGATAGAGATATATACATATAGATGTGTATTTTAAGTTCTGGGGTATATTTACAGAACATGCAGGTTTGTTACCTAGATATACATGTGCCATGGTGGTTTGCTGCACCCATCACCCCATCATCTACATTAGGTGTTTCTCCTAATGCTATTCCTCCTCCTTGTCCCCATCCCCCAACAGGCCCAGGTGTGTACTGTTCCCCTCCCTGTGTCCATGTGTTCTCACTGTTCAACTCCCTTTTCTTATGAGTGAGAACATGCAGTGTTTAGTTTCTGTTCCTGTGTTAGTTTGCTGAGAATGATGGTTTCCAGCTTCATCCATGTCCCTGCAAAGGACATGAACTCATCCTGTTTTATGGCTGCATAGTATTCCATGGTATATATATGCCATATTTTCTTTATCCAGTATGTCACTGATGGGCAGTTAGGTTGGTTCCAGATCTTTGCTATTGTGAACAATGCCACAATAAACATACGTGGATGCACACAGTTTTAGAAGCATGGCAGAATATCTAGACTAAGGGCATCCCTGAACATAGTGTTATGGCCACTACACCAGGTGCCAGTTCCCAAAGCAAGCACTGTCAGTCTCCTGTGCTCAGCAGTATTAAGTAGTCCCTAATTTTGTGACACTGTAAGAAAGCTGAGACAATCTCATGTTTTTACGTTCTGATGAGGAAGCCAATGAGAGACCCAGCCCCAGTAAAACATGGACACCAATATTGAAAGTTATTATTCCTTTTGCAGCTACTTCCAGTCTTGATGCTTGGGAGGCTCTTTTAGGACTCAGAATTGAAATTCTTCAAATAGTAAATATTGCTTCCATAAAATTTCCTCCCAGAGTTCATCCTGGTAACGTATTTTTTAATGACTTACAAAACGAGCACCAGTTAATCCCCTTGCTCCCTGTTAGCTGGTGATTGAAGAGACGCTGATTTTATCACTGCTTGCCACCCACATGAAGGGCAGGGGGGTTCCTGCCACTCTATGATAAGGATTTCCTAAGGGAAGAAAAGAACTCTCCTCTCCAAGCTCAGTCCTGTGTAGATGGTGGGGAACTTCGAGGTTTAAAAAGAATTCACATCCATTTTTAGAAGAGATATCCTCTCATTGTCACAGTGTGCCTAAAGAGAACACGAGGACAAAGCCAGAAAGTCAAGATCCTCATGCTTCAGGCACAAGGTCCCCAGGCATTGCTTTGGACTGCAATCACGTGAGAAAGACTCTACGGAAAATGAAGAAAAACAACTCTGATGGACAAGTGTCCTTTTCTAGTTTGCTGCAGTTAGAAGCTGTCCAGACAAGCCATAGAGTCCTCAGCTCAGGCAGGCAAAGGCCCTGCATGCTACCTTGACATTCAGGAGCCTCACCTTGGATATGGCAAGGAATTACAAGTCCAGAGAACCAGCCCGCTATCCTTATAGATCATGTCCCAGATATTCTAGGCCCAAAATTTCCTGCCCATATGGTTCTGAGGTTGCTTCCAGAACAGACTGAAGGCCATGTGGATGACTACTAGTGCACTTGGGAATATTAAGAGAATCATTCCCATCTCCCTGGGTATCTGCATGTTATGAATCTCCCGTCTTGTTCTTACCTCTTTCCTCACTCAACCTGGAGCTCTTGCTTTAGATCTGGACCACAAGAGCCCTCAGTTTCCTGGTTCAGTCACCCTTTTCCTGCAAAGTGCAGCCAAACCAACTATCTGCCTCCAAAATAACCACTGCCTCCACTCATGGAGTACTCCCTGTGTGCCAGGCAATACACTGCGAGATAACAATAAATATATTCGGTCTTTGTTCCTGGTTCCTAGCACAAAGTCCCTCAAACCTTTGAAATTTCTAGAGTGAGAGGAGTGTCTTCAGTCACACCTGAGTTCATGCTAATGAGGTGACTTAAGGTGGGACCCCTAGAGAGCCTCAGGATGTGGCTGGTCGCCAGAAAGACCAAGTAGTAGAGGATGGAAACATTCAGCCCCATCAGTCAACCTCCAAAAAAGGAGAGGGTGCTGGAGACTAACCTCTGTTGAAAGCTCTGGAACAGCAAGACAGGATGAGCTCTCAGCGTGGTGAACATATCCAGGTGCTAGGAATGTGCCATAACCAGAGAGATCATCAAGCTCCATGCATACTGGCCCAAATCTGCCCTGTGCATCCCTTCTGTTCGGCTGTTCCTGAGGGGTATCCTTTATAACAAACAGGTAAACATAAGGCAAGTGTTTCCCCGAGTTCTAGGAGCCGTTAGAGCAAATTATCCAATCTAAGGAGGGTGTTGTAGAAACCCCCAATTTGTAGCCAAGTCAGACAGAAGTTGTAGGTGATCTGGGGAGGACCCACCACTTGCAACTGGCATCTGAAATGGGGGGCAGTCTTGCTGGGTCTGCTAAATCCTGGTAGCGTTAGAATTGAGTTAAATTATAGGGCACCCAGATATTGTCCAGAGAGTTCAACAAAAAAGCAGATCGCTAAATGCTTTACATATACTACCATTTGCTGCTTCCAGCAATATTATAGGTGGTAGCTATTAATTCACACTTTCCATATTAGAGAAGAAAGGTCTAAAGAGGTTAAGTAACTTACTCACGATCAAACCACTAGGGAATCCACCCTGTAACACAACACGTATCAGTGAGTTCCTGACTGATTTAAAAGGCCCTCAACCACACGTGTCCTTGATCAGCAGCACAATTGTAGCTGCTACTTTAGCCCTTCGATGTGCTCTGTATCAGTGGAAGAATGACGAGGTTCATAATTTAGAAAGGAGAGCTTTGATTCTCATAAAATATTGCAACATGTGGGCTGGGAATCATAGCTTACAATCAGAAGCCAGAAATAGGAACTTCAAGGGCGTTTTACTGTGCTCACCCCCATAACCCCACAAACATCCATAAGACAGATTCATGCTATATTAGGCAGCCAAACATACATATTCAATAAGCTACAGGAGGAGCCTTGAATATTTATGAGGAGAAGCATGCTCATGTGCAACTGAGCTTCATGCTTCCCTATGGGACCACGTTCAAAAACTGCAGCCTTAGCATGACACAAGAGTAGTTTTACACCTCCGATGTCAAAGGTGAAGCAGAGGACATGAAAACCCTCACTGCACTTCCTCCCTAAACTGGGCAGAACCACCCCGTGGTCCAGGGTCTCTCTTCAGGAGAGAATCAGGGGTCGTTTTAAAACTGCCAGAGGCAGGAGCAGCACCAGGTGGTTGGTTGAACTCAGTGGTGCAGTCTTTTGAAAGGGCTGGTTTCTGTTCAGCCCTTAGGGAAGAAAGCCTAACGGCGGTTATCGAGGGTTGGGAGACAACGAGGCATGTTCAACCTCCCATCGTCATGGCTGGGAATGAAACTTCCAAGGTTTCTCTGGGGTCCTCTTGGCCAAGAGGGGGTCCATTCAGTCAGCTGGGGGTGCTTAGAGTTTTTTCCTTCTCTTCTGGGTCCCATACCAGACACTTCCCCTTTCCCATCCAGAAGCCCTTCCTGGTTCAGCAGCAGACATGAGAAGGCAGGTGCTGCTTTCACTGTGCCCCCAACCCCACACATTTATCTAAGTTACGTCAAGAATAAAATAACCTCCACTGCCACTTATCAGTTCCCACGGACTTTATATATTATGCCTTATTATCTTTTCAAAAACTCCTGCAAGAAAGCATCTTTTCCTCCATTTTATGAGCAAAAAACCATAGCTTCCTAGGATACTTTGACTTTCCAGTACAAGTTCCCATAATATTTTTGTCTTGAAAAACTTTTGACTAGTCTTAACCACTTCGTCTACTAGATCAATTTTAGTAAGGTAGAATTAGCTTGCCACATCCCAAGAAAAAAAAATCACTAGGATTTTGATTAAAATTGCATTAGATTCATAATTTTTTTTTTTGAGACAGAACCTCGCTATGTCACCCAGGCTGGAGTACAGTGGCACAACCTCAGCTCACTGCAACCTTCGCCTCCCAGGTTCAAGTGATTCTCCTACCTTAGCCTCCCAAGTAGCTGGGATTACAGATGCCCACCACCACGCCCAACTAATTTTTGTATTTTTTTAGTAGAGATGGGTTTCATCATGTTGGCCCAGCTGGTCTCAAACTCCTGACCTCAAGTGATTCTACCCAGCCTCCCAAAGTGCTGAAATTACAGGTTTGAGCCACCGTGCCCCACCAGATTCACAAATTAATTTAGAGGAATTTGTATCTTTGCCCTGGGTCTTTCCTCCTGGGCAAGGGGACCAGGATAGCGGTGGAGCCACGGCTAAGCAAGGATGTGGAAGGGCAGGTTCAAGAACAGGAGATACATCCATGTGTGGGTCCCCAGTCAAGAGACATCTACCACCACTGTCCCCAAGGAAAGCTTCAGACATCAAGACAAAGAGATTATAGAAACAAATCCGAATCTGAAGGTAAGGATGAGAAAAGAGAGTAGGTCCCAGCTGTCAAAGGGGCCAGAGTCCAAAGGATGTCCTCCTGCAGGAGAGGAATGCAGGCAATGAGGGGGTCAGTGCAGGGAGGACACTGCATACCTGCATGTGGCCTGGAGCTAGCTTCACCACCGCCCTTTCCCTCACTCCAGGACAGAGCAGTCTGGGAGTCTGAGTGGACTTCACAGCACCATTCACACCTCTTTCCAGGACAACAGATCCCAAAACAGGCCATAATATCAAGAGTCAAGCATTCTTAGGTCACTCTGGTTGCCCATGCCTGCTCTGACCAGGGTCTTCAGGGTCAAAATGAAGAGCTAGATCCCTGTGTCAAAAGGTGAGGCAGTGGTGAGAGATAGAGGAGACTTCAATGGAGAGAAGTCTGTGGGACCAGAAGATCAGAAGGTCACCAAGTCCATCACAGTGGATACCTGAGCTACATCCTGCCAGCTTCTGGAATGAGTGAGTGATGAGATGCCCTGAAAGGCAGACAGATAGTACTGCCCACCCAGTGACTGCCCAGGTGCTAGTGCTGCTCCGTAGAGTACTTCTGAAGGCGGTCAGGTACTTAAGAATTTTGGAGAGAACCATTTCCCACATTGCAGTCTTCTTAACATCACACTTACGCTGATCTGTCTGTGACAAAGACCCAGGACCATAGGATGCTTTAGGACACCCACTGCTGTGGCACTGGTGCCTCTGTGGGGCTCTGAGAGACAGCAAAGACCCAGTTTCTATTCTTACCTCACCTCCTTCCCTGCAACCTGGCCTGTCCATCATGAACAATGAGCTCTCCTTTACCAGGACTGGAGGCAGGCTGAAGTAAACTGCACGGGCTTTCTAGAACATCTTTTTCAGTGGGGGTCTGTGGAGGAGACACCCTTCCAAATGCTTAACTACCCCAGCCTCATGAGGGGAGAGAAGAGTGGCACAGAGCAACCCAGGCAGGGCCAAGGCCCAGAGCCAGAGCAGCTGTGCCTCCAGCCCAGCCCTGCTCACAGTCCCCACCCTCAGCCCAGTGGCACACAGTCTAGGAACAAACTAGAGCCTCCCCTGCTGGGTATGGAGTGAGAGAGAAAGAGTGGGGTAAGAGGTTAGAGTGGCATGAACAGGATCCCCTAGCCACATAAACAACCACCAATTAAACAGGGATAAAGGCTGTGGTTTTCACTGAGGGAAAAAGTCAACAGCTACACTAAAGACGCACCTAAACCTTTTGCAAAGCTACTCCCCTTCTATCAAAAATAGTGCATTAGTCCATTTTCACACTGCTATAAAGAAATATCCAAGACTGGGCATGTTAGTCCATTCTCAGGCTGCTATGAAGACATACCTGAGACTGGGCAATTTTAAAAAGAAAGAGATTTAATTGACTCACAGTTCAGCATGGCTGGGGAGCCCTCAGGAAACTTGCAATCATGGCAGGAGACATCTCTTCGCAGGGCGGCAGAGAAAAGGGAAAGAGTGGGTGCCCAGTGAAACAGGAAGCCTTTCAGAAAACCATCAGATCTCGTGAGAACTCACTATCATGAGAACAGGGCAAACCACCCCATGATTTAATTATCTCCACCTGCTCCTTCCTATCACACGTGGGGATTATGGAAACTACACTACAAAATGAGATTTCAGTGGGGACACAGCCAAACCATATCACTGGATAATTTTTAAAGGAAAGAGGTTTAATTGACTCACAGTTCTGCATGGCTGGGAAGGCCTCAGGAAACTTAGAATCGTGGTGGAAGGCAAAGGGGAAGCAAACTTGGACCTTCTCACAAGGCAGCAGCAGAGAAAAGAGTGCAAGCAGGGGAAATGGCAGACACTTGTAAAACCATCAGCTCTCAGGAGAACCACTCACTATCAGGAGGGTAAGATGGGGAAACTGCCTGCATAATCCAATCACTTCCCACCCGGTCTCTCCCTAAACACCTGGGGACTGTAATTCAAGATTAAGATGAACTGTAATCTTGAATTATAATCCCCAGGTGTTTAGGGTGGGGACACAAAGCCTAACTATATCAGATAGCTTTTCTTTGCAAAAACAAATGCTAAAATATTGAAAACATAGAAAAACACAAACTAAAGGCACCATGCAGAGATAATCACCGTTAATCTTTGGATGTATGACTTCTGTATTTTTCTCATTTGATATAGATGTAGATGCAGACATATTAGAGAAGAATGGCACCCAAAGCCCAATTATTCCAAATTAATGTTTTTTGGAGTTTAGATATCTTACTTCCAAAAGAACAAAATAATACAGAGATGCAGTGATTCTGATTCATATTTTGGCCCGCATTTGGTGTGTGTAGTCTGTGTGTACGTGCGTTTGTGTGTAATCTCTAAGAACACACATACATGTTTTTCTTCAGCACAGCTATTCCTTCAGCAGCCCGTTGTCATCTGCAGCCAAGGGGATCACTCTTTTCCGAAGCTCTGTAACTCTATGTGATTCCATTACATGGTTAAACATGTAAGAAAATCTTGTAGAGCAATGCCACTCTTTAATTCTTCCAGCAATTAGATTCCTGAACAAATCATTTCTTCTGCAGACACAAAGTATTTCAACAAAAATGTAGCTTATTTTATTCACTAAGCAATAGAATAAAAATAGCTAGTGTTCCTCAGGTTAATGTTATAGACTTAATATTATTCTAAGCATTTTAGTTAAATTGATATTTATAACCAACCTATGATGTAGGTAGTACTATATGCCTCTAATTTACAGACGAAGAAACCAAGGCACAGACAGGTTAAGTTACTTGCTCAAAGTCACACGGCCAGCAAGAATTGAAGCCTAGGCTCAGTGCCAGGGGGCTGACCTCAGAGCTTATACACCTAACCATTATCCACATAATGTAAAATCAACAAAAAGGACACAAATAATTCTTAATAGCTATAGACTTTTCTATTATATGTTCATACCATGAGTTCCTTAACCAATGCCCATCACTGCCTATCTAGGCTACTTCCAATGTTTGCCTATTATAAAACACTTCCATAAATAACTTCGTGGATAAGTCCTTGCACATATCCGCTACTACTTCTTTAAGATTAATAAATGAACGTGAAATTTCTGCTTGAAAGCATATGCATATTGTAAGCTTTGATACAGATGGCCACAATGCTCTCCAGAAGAATATACACTAGGGTTTTTCACTATAAATATTTTCTATTGACACATAATTGTACGTACTTAAGGGGTACAGAGTGCTGTTTCCAAACATACAATGCATAGTGATCAGATCAGGGTAATTAGCATACCCATCATCTCAAACATTTACCGCGTCTTTGTGTCATGAAGATTCAGTATTTTCCTTCTAGCTACTTGAACTAGATACATATTGTTAACTATAGCCACCCTAGAGTGCTAGATACTAGAACTTGTCCTTCCTACCTAGCTGTAATTTCGTATCCTTTAACAAACCTCTCCCCATCCCCAGGAGCCTATGTCATTACCTTTCCACTAACAATGTTTAAAAGCAGTATGGATGTCTCCATATCACTCGATTTGCTTCTTTGTCTTTCTGATAAACAGGCACCTTGATATTTAAGCAAATTTGATTCCTGACTAGGTGGCCCGTCACTTCATAAACTTACTGACAACAGATACAGCTTCAGCTCCTTTTACACCCTTTGTGTCTCTTCCACTGTCTGCCTTTCCTTATTAAATTGTAAGAGCTCTTTCTATAATAAAGAATTCGACTCCACTGCATACGCTGCAAATATTTTCCAAGGGTTTTGTTCATCCTTGCAATTTGTTTATATTGTCTTTTGACATAATGTACTTTTGTTTTGCTTTGCTTTTTCCCTTTGAATTTTTTAAAAATCAAATCTGTTAATATTTCCTCTATGATTTCTGATTTTGGTCATGTTTAGAGAGTCCTTGGCTGCTACATAATTTTTACTTGTGTCTTTTTCTCATGCTTTTAAGCCTATGAGTTATATTTAACCCTTTTCTTCAATCTGGAATTCAGTTTGGTGAAGATGTAAGGTTAGAGTTCTCAGTTTCTTTAATATCTGATTATTTCAGCAAATCCAGTGGCTGACTTTCAATCCTTGGCACTGTTTCCATAAATCCACACAGAATGAATGATATAGGCATTCAGTCTTTAGAACTTTTATAGATATCTTGTCTGCTGTCCCCAAAAATATTTTAATTAAATTTATCCCAGTGTTGCAATGAATACTGAATCAAGAAGCCACTTCATTTATTTTTCACTTTCAATTATACTGAGTTGTCTCATTTAACTAAACTCAGCAGATAAATTCAATGTACTCCAGATATAAAATAGCTCATCGCCATATAAAATTTTAAACTCACTCTTCTATTAATTCAATGCCTTATATTTATAGATAAATTAAGGCTTTACAAAATGAATCTCCCTCTATCCTTGTCATGTAAGTTGCACAGCGTGGATCAGAACAGCTCCCAGTCCCATGTCCTGCTGCTGCAGCTGCTCAGCCCCAGTGGAGGATGCTGTCCAGGTGCCTGGGTCTTGAGAGGTGGGCTTTGGATCCAGTGAAGCTCCCTCGGTGCCTCCAAAGCTTAGACCAATCAGCCCTAGCAGCCCGTGAGTCACACGTTTCCAAAGCTCCACATTTCCTTCCAGTCTCAGAATCTGGAAAACAGAAGCAATTTCAGAACCAGATGTGACCTCTGCAGCAGCTTCCAAAACAAGCGCTGACTCCCTTATTTGGCTGGAGATCACACAGATAAGTGGGGCCCATGCTGCACGCATCTAGCCTTGGTCATGGAGTATAGTTGGCCATTGGTGATTCTCAGAGAAGGAAGCAGACAGAAAATGGAGGGATGAAAAAGGAAAATAATTCATGGTTTCCCTCTTTCCAGGCTATCAGCAAATCTAAAAGGGTTGCTCCTGCGAACTAAAATTCATTTGAGAGATAGCACACGATAAAGGGTTAATTGGCACCAGCACACGATAAAGGGTTAATTGGCACCCAGCTTGGGTTTTGTGTGTGTGCCGCGGGAGCTCTGTCAATTAACTCTGCTCTCATAAAGGAACATTTGAAATAATTGTGATTACTTAAAATGTTTAGTAATGTAAATTGTGACCCTTTTAGTTCACAGGCCATTTCTGAGGATCTCTTATTCTGTCTCTTCTAAATATAACAAAGGCTTTAAAATTACATTTTCAATCTCTGTCTTTCTCTTGATCCCTGAGTCTCTAGTACCTCAAAGCCAGGTTGTATGCTCTGGCTAAGGACACAGTGTCCCTCTGCCATTTATACAAGGCACTCTCCAGAATGTGTGGCCCCAAGCCCAGGGCCCTGTTCTTCATTCTACAGATTGGGTGACACCATGGCCTTTGCCATGAGACCACCTGGGTTCAGATCCCACTTCTGACACTCACAGTAAGTATCTACTCTTTGCTATTGTTTCCTCCTCTGTACAATGAGGATGCTATGGTAGCATCTACTTTATAGGGTAGTAGTAGAGATTAATGGAGACGACATGGCCAGGTGCAGTGACTCAAACCTGTGATTCCAGCACTTTGGGAGGCTAAGCCAGGAGGATCACTTGAGCTCAGGAGTTTGAGACCAACCTGGGCAACAGAGTGAAACCCCATCTTTACAAAAAAAAAAAAAAAAACAATGAGCCAGGCATGGTGGTGCATGCCTGTAGTCCCAGCTTCTCAGGAGGCTGAGGCAGGAAGATCACTTGAACCTGGGAGGTCAAGGCTGCAATAAGCTGTGACCATGCCATTACACTTCAGCCTGGGTAACAGACTGAAACCTCATCTTTAAAAAAAAAAAAATGAATGAGATCACATAGGAGAAGGGCTTACACACATAAGAAGCACTGTATGCATGTTAGTGGTCATTCTGGTTATGTCTCTAAGTAGAAAACAAACCCTAAATGTGTCTAAACGATGTGCGTCTGCCGCTCTAGGTGCTACCAAGCCAGTGCCTCAAGGATCTACAGTCTGTAGTATGCCTCCCCAGAAAGCCATACCACTGTCTGGGTTCAAGTCCTTGAATAAACATCACAAGTTTATTAGCTCAAGTTTATTAGAAACATGAGCATTTTTTCCCCTACTACAGCAGCCTTCACCTAAATCTATTTGTTATGGAGTGCCACAGCCATCTCCCAGCTGGGTTAAGGAACAGGACAAAAGGGAATAGAGCAACATCTCTCACCCAAAAAGCCTGTGCACTAGAGGGCTGTCTATTTGAACTGAGTCTACTGTGGCCTTTGAAGAAAACTTCTGTTCAACTCAATACTGGCCCTTGCCTGCTTCACTGGGGAAATTGCCTACAGGTAGATGATTTGCCCAAACCAATTCTGCCCTGGCCTGAGAATTGACTGCTCATCTCCAGCAATCCCAAACCTTCCTCTGAGAACTATTACCACAAGTGCCTGTCTTTTCCAATGCAAACTTGCCACAGAGTATCTGAGTCACTCCCTGGCAGGAACTAGAGAAGCTCTGCTACATGAACTCCAGGCCCTGGGGCAGATGCTTCTGCTACCCATAAGGTAGGGTTGGCTACAATTCTGTTGAGTGGGTGGGCAGGACCCAGAAACCCCACATCCTACTTTGTCCACAGCTATCCCTTCTGGGATCCAAGCCATTTTAGGCAAAAAGACCAAGGCCCAGCAAGTGACAACTCATCACTACTAATGAGCATTTGGCCTAAATCCCTCCCTGGCCTTCTGCCAGATAATTCATGTCCTTCCCTGCTTAAAACCTCCCAGTGATTTCTCATTGCTATTAGGATAAAATCAAAAATCCATACAAGACCCTGGCTGATCCGGCTTCTCATCCCCTCCTCTTTGCTCTCCCTCTTTGCTCTCCCTCCCTTTCTGCCATCCAACTCCTTGAACTTAGCTGCTCCCTCCTGCCTGTCTGGAAGGCTCCCCCTCTCCACACACTCTCAGCCTCTTTTACTCATCCTTCAGACAGCAGCCTATTTGAACTGAGCTTCCTTCCCTGACCCCAAGACTGGGTCACGGTCTCTTCATATGCATTCCGATAGCATCCTGTGCTTCTTTGTAGCACTTACTAAATTGTAATGAAATAACTAATTTGTGTTTATTAGGCCAACATCTGTCTCCCTGACTCGGCTGTGAACTCCATGCAGCCTGGCTGGGACCACGTATGCTGGAATTCCCATTGTTCCTCCGGTGTCCAGTACAATGCCTGGCACATTAGCAAGGGCTCAAAAAGATCTGCTGACTGCATGAATAAATTAAGTAGAGTCCCAGTTTTAATCCTAACCAAAGCACTCTTCATTTCCCGTGCACTCTAGCTTTTAAGTTTTCTGTCCTTGCAAATGCCAGTCTCAGTCCCCAACTAAATGGCCTGAACATTCTTTGAAGCCCTCCCTAGACAGGGCTCATACAGACAAGAACTGGAACACAGTCAGCCAAGCCCTGTTCTTTTATTTGTCTCATTGCCATCGGATACCATGTCTTCTGTTCCAATCCCCATAAATCAATCTCTCCTGCTCTTCCCACAAGCCATCAGCCTTGACCTTTAAAACACTGCTATATTTCCTAGAAAGCTCTTTGCTCTTAAAAGAAAAATGGAAGCAATTAAATCCTCTTCATGCCATGTCTTTGCCTCTGCAAAACTAAAGGGCTGTGGAAGGTGTCTTCATGGTAAACCCTGGATCCTGGCCCCAGATCAGATAAAACCACACCATGAGGCCTTGGTATGTAAATAAGCCTCACTCCTAATCATAGACGATCTCTCATGGCACTTCCAACACGAAGACTCTGCGTTTCTGTAATTATATGATTCCTCAAAGGAGGAGAGAGAATAGGGCGCTAGTTAAGAGTTAGATAAGGATTTGGAGTCAGAGAAACTTAGGTTAAAATTCTACAAGTCCCTTTACTAGCTGTGTGACACTGACCAGTTCCTTAATCCCTCAAAGCCTCTCCCTATCCTCCTGTCTAATAGGGGATGACAGAATACCTCACAGACCGTTGGGGGAATAAAATAGAATGGTGCATGTGAATGTCTCAGAAAGGTAGTTGCTGTGGATGTCATCATTGTCATCACTGGCCTGGGACACTTTCACCTGTAGGATTTAATCCCTTTGTCCCACCCAACAGAGGATCTTTCCTCTGTTCTGTGTATGAGTTACATACAGAAGCTCTCTGCACATTCCTCCAGAATGACCATGGGGGTGGGCTGCACTAAGAAGGAGAAGGTGGCAAAATATACCAATGTGTAGAGTGAGACCTTAGGGATTAATCCACTTAAAGAGATACAGTCAGCCCTCAATATACATGGGGAATTGGTTCCAGCTTCCCCTACAAACCCCATGCATACTAAAATCCATGCATACTCAGTCAAGACACCCAGTGGGCCTTGCCAAACCCACTGTACATGGGTTTCACATCCCACAAATGCTATCATTTCTTTCTTTTTTCTTTTTTTTTTTTTTTTTTGAGATGGAGTCTTGCTCTGTTGCCCAGGCCAAAGTGCAGTGGCACGATCTTGGCTCACTGTAACCTCCGCCTCCTGGGTTCAAGCGATTCTTCTGCCTCAGCCTTTGGAGCAGCTGGGATTACAGGCACACACCACCAAGCCACACTAATTGTTGTATTTTTAGTAGAGATGGTGTTTCACCATGTTGGCCAGCTGGTCTTGAACTCCTAAGCTCAGGTGATCTACCCACCTTGGCCTCCCAAAGTGCTGGGATTACAGGTTTGAGCCACTGCACCCAGCTGCATTTTTAAAAATTTTTAACTAATCGTGTTCATGTCATGTAGATAGAGTTTATGAAAAATCAACACATAGAAACTACTGTTCTTGATCAAATAGAGCTCACAGAAATAACTTGGGTTCTCAATACGTCCTGTATTCACTATCTGCCCAACACCAGGCTCACTGTCGCGTGTACTCTACCTACATCGCACTGTATGTATTTCCTACAGCTGCTGTAAGAAATCATCACCAAAAGGGAGGCTTAAAACAACAGAAATTTATTCACTCACAGTTCTGAAAGCCAGAAGTCCAAAGTTAAGTAGTGGGCAGGGTTGGTTCCTTCTGAAGACACCAGGGGAGAATCCGTTCCATGCCTCTCTTCTGGGTAGGGCATCTTTCTCCCTGGCATTTCTTGGCTTATGGCTGCATAACTCCAACCTCTGCTTCCATCTTCTTGTGGCCTTCTTCTCTGTGTTTCTGTTTTTGTCACTTATAAAGACATCTGTTATTGGATTTTGGCCCCAACCTATGATCTCATCTCAAGATCCCTAACCCAGGGGTCCCCAACCTTTTTGGCACAAGGGACTGGTTTCGTGGAAGACAACTTTTCTACAGAACAGGTTGTAAAGGATAGTTTGGGGATGATTCAAGAACATTCTGTGTATTGTGCACTTTATTATGTTGTAATACATAATGAAATAATTATGCAACTTACCATAATGTAGAATCAGTGGGAGCCCTGAGCTTTCTTTCCTGCAACTATATGGGGTGATGGGGGACAGTGATAGATCATCAGGCATTAGATTCTCATAAGGAATGTGCAACCTAGATCCCTCAAACGCAGTTTACAATAGGGTTCGACGCTCCTATGAGAGCTCTAATGCTGCTGCTGATCTGACAGGAGGTGGAGCTCAGACAGTAATGTGAGTGAGGGGGAGAGGCTGTAAATACTGTGAAGCTTCTCTTGCCCACTGCTCACCTCCTGCTATACAGCCCGGTTCCTAACAGGACTAGTGCCCTAACTTGATAACATCTGCAAAGATCTTTATTCTAAATAAGGTTATACTCTCAATTTCCAGATGGGCATCTCTTAGGGGTACCATCAACCCACTACACCCACCAAACTCAAGTATCATTTAGAAGGCAAGTCTTCAGTAGCAATAATAATATAAATTAATTGCACACACTTGCAATTAATAGCTGTGCCCTCCACAATCTGACCTCAGTCTGCATTTCAGTCTTTAATCTGGCAGAATACACAAGGCTCCTGGTTCAGAGACCAAGGACTTCATTACTCATAGCACATCCTTTTACTGAAAAAACACAATGTATTATTTATCTGAAATTAAAATTTAACTGGGTGTTCTTTATTTTATTTACTAAAACTGGCAAATGTAGGGCCAGCACATTGCAGGAACATCCTCAGCATATTTGTGTTAGCTGGCAGTCAGGACCTTGTTTTCTTTTTTCTTTCTTTCTTTTTTCTTTTTTTTTGAGATAGAGTCTCATTCTGTTGCCCAAGCTGGAGTACAGCAGCATGATCTTGGCTCCCTGCTGCCTCCTCCTCCCAGATTCAAGTGATTCTCCTGCCTCAGCCTCCCTCTGAGCTGGTATTACAAGCTCATGCCACCAAGTCCAACTAAATTGTATATATTTTAGTAGATATGGGGGTTTCACCATGTTGGTCAGGCTGGTCTCGAACTCCTGACCCCAAGTGATCTGCCTGCCTCAGCTTCCCAAAGTGCTGGGATTATAGGTATGAGCCATCACACCTGGCCAAGTCTTGTTTTGGGGACATACCCAGAAAAGCAGACAGGAGCATGAGAGACTTGTGGGGGCCATGGCGGCAGAATCGACAGGTGGCTGAGGGACAGCAGGCATCTGTGAGCATTTTCCTGCTGGATCAAGTCAACACTTCTTCTGGAATTATTAATATCTACTCATTGCCATGCTACAATTTCCTCTGTGACATTCACCCTTAGAATGTCATCTCTCTGTTTATTCATTCTTTGTGATGCATCTGAAATCTCTTCTCCAAAAAGGCTTCTCTGATGATATCTGCATGAAGGACATGTATTACTTAAACATATTATTTAACTTCTCATATGTTTCTTTTTTGTCTCTCCATATTTTAAGTTCAAGGTAGGATGATCTTTTCATAAATTCCTTGCATCCTCCCTCTGCCACAAGGAACCTGTGTTACTTTGATTTAGAGAGTATAAAAGTCAGTGTTCTCTGGAGAAACAGAACCAACAGGATGCACATATACAGAAAGAGAAAGAATTATTACAAGGAAGTAGCCATGCAATTACAGAGGTTGAGAAGTCCCAAGATTTGCAGATTGTAAGCTAGAGACCCAAGTAAGCTCACGTGTAGTTGCTGTTCAAGTCTGAAGACCTGAAAACGAGGAAAATTGATGGTGTAAGTTCCAGTCTGAAAGTCAGCAGGCCTGAGAACCAAAAACAGTTGATGTCTCAGTAGAGTCTGAATGCTGGAAAATATCTATGTCCCAGCTCATCAGTGAGGCAGGAAGAGTGTCCTCTTATTCAGCCTTTTTGTTCTATGCATATTTTGAATTGGTTGCATTAAATCCATACACATCAAGGGAGGGCAATTTGCTCTACTCAGTCTACTAATTCAAATGTTAACCTCATTCAGAAACATCCTTATAGACACATCCAGGATAGTTTGACAAACTGACTGGGCACCCTTTGGCTCAGTCAAGTTGACACATAAAATTAACCATCACAGGGGTAGCAGTTGGCCCTGACTCTACTAATGAGTAATGCATCACAGATCCCTAAAATCAGAGACTGGGAAACTTGGAACCACTAAATTTTCAAGCAGGTTTGCTCTAGCTATAGTTTAGGTGAGATGTTTTTCTAGAATTTCCCTTTGTAATGGTGGGAGTCAGAAGGTGGGCTGGTGAGAGTGTAGGGGGTACTCTTCCTCAAGCAGCTCCTAAAACAGGAGCAATGAATGAAGCAATACTTATTAGCAAACCAAGTAACAATGTAAATATCAGTTGGTGTCTTATGTTAACACACATTTCAGATGCCATCAGCTCTTGCAAGTTATGCTTGAAAGCAACTAAGAAATCAAGCTCATAGATTCTAAAAGAAAGATTTGAGATTCCCTTGACAATCACTATATGTATGCCAATGTACTGTATCTGGAAGGTCACTTTAACTCTGCTAATACAAGCCTAATACCCTGTGCTTTGCACATAACACATAATAAAAAATGTTGAATCGATGACTGTAGAATATCCATCTTTACTTTTATGCTCACTCTGCTGAAATACTCATCTTCTATGAATGCAATATTGTATTTCATTTCGTCATTTGGGGAGATTTATAGAAGAGACTAACACTTGGATACTGTGATTAGTATTGTGAATGGAAGTGCACTGAAAATAAAAGAAACTTTTCTGTATAATAATCTATCTTCCACTGCCTCATTCTCTGAGCTCTACATAATATCTCACCTGACACCACATTATTTTTAACACTTGGCTCAATAAAGTTTTCCTGTAACATCCCCCGTGCCTTTGATTCCCATTTATTTTAGGATAATTTTATCCTGTGCCTTTAACTATGAATCTCCAGCAATAATTTAATTACTTTTAAGTAGCAGTTCTTATACATCCATTACATGCTGAGAAGTGGGCTACAATTCATAGGCTTATAAATCAAGAATGAGCCACTATACCTGTATCTATCAGTGTCTAGCCAGGAAAAGAGACGTCACTCTAAATCCAAGGAGAAATGTAATGCATAGAATCAGTTTTAAATGTTTTGTAATGGCTGGAAAAGCAAAAGAAAGGTATGGGCGGGGAGCAAAATAAAGAAGACATTCATCAATCAAATATCAGACAATTGCCTTCATTCCTGCCTAGAACCCCCAAGCATAGAGTAGGTTCTGAGTGCAAAGTAGGCATTGCCACTGCTGCTGGCTCTCAGCAGGTCACCAGGAGCCTATGCACCCCCTGATGAAAAGCACATTTGTGGCGAGAACCCACAGATGCCTGCAGTCCTTCAGCTGCCGGAAGTGCTGCCACCACTGCCCCTTGCATCTTTGTACCCCCATCTGCCTTTCTTGGTATGCCAAGGATAGAGGCTCTGACCACCAGCTAATACAAACATACCAATGTTCATGCAGTATGCTGCGCCTGAATTTGCCAGATTTCACAAATAAAATACAGGATGCCCATTTAAATGTTAATTTCCAATAACCAACAAATAATTTTTTAGTGTAAGTATGTGCCATGAGTAATAAAGTACTTCGTCTCTGACCCAAAAGTCTTGTATCTTCTGCCAGATTCCATGATTCAGTAACAGGCTAACTTAGTAGCTTGTAAGGAGGGTAAAAGTTGAATGCCAGAGCTGACCTTGGGCAGCTCAAGGCACTAGAGTCCACCAGCCCTCCAAGTCTCATCTTCAAAGTCAAATATGTAACAAAAATTTCTGATGCTAAACAATCAAGACCCTCCAATCCTCAATTCTATATATCTGCAGTCATACATCAACTCTAGAAGAAAACTCCCTCCAACAAATTAAAAACTTGAGGGAATTCATTGGTCAGATCCCTCACTTCTCAAATAACTGCTATGCCATGGTTTAGACAACGTAAGTCTGAGAATTCACTCCACCTCCCAATATAGGGCTGGACCATTAGATACAGGTCCAAGTAAAGTCAGTACATCTTCACTGAGCTCAGCCTGTGCTAGAGGGTGTGACGTTTAGCAGACATGATTCTTGACTGCAAGTAACAGAAGCCAACTCTAACTTAAAATGTATTAAAAGGCTATCACCAAGCTCAGAGAATTGGCAGGAAGGCTGGAGAACCAGGCTAAGAAAATGAGCAGATCCATCAAGCGAGTTTAGAGGAGAATGTAGAAGAAGCATCACATCAGTCACAGGAGGACACCACTCCTGGCTCCAATTCCTCTGCTGTCATCAACAGTGGTTGTCAGCGGATAATCATCCCTGTGCCACACTGACAATGCTACCACCATCACCCTGAACGATTTGACAGCTTGCAAGATCTCGGCTCACTGCAGAGATCTTAGGCTCAAGTGGTCCTTTCACCTCAGCCTCCCAAGTAGCTGGGACTACAGATGTATACCACTATGCCTCATTAATTTTTTTTTTTAATTTTTTATTGCATTTTAGGTTTTGGGGTACATGTGCAGAACGTGCAAGACAGTTGCATAGGTACACACATGGCAGTGTGTTTTGCTTCCTTTCTCCCCTTCACCCACATTTGTCATTTTTCCCCCAGGCTATCCCTCCCCAGCTCCCCCACCCGCTGGCCCTCCCCTTTGCCGGGTCTTGATATGTTGCTCATGCTGGCCACCAGGGGAAGCCAGGTAAAGGGTATCTGGGATGTCTCTTTAGATTCTACATGTGAATCTGCAATTATCTCAAAATAAAAAGTTTAATTTTCTTTAAAGTCACTTTTTTAAGAACACCAAGTGAAATGCACAGCTTGATTTCTGCTGTTTCTAACTTATTGAATAAATGTCACTGAGTACTTACTATGTGCTAAGTACTTACGTTCAACTTTGCTTTTTAACAAATTCATCTTCCTGTGCTACTACATAATTTAACAAAAAATTTAATATCATTAACAATATTATTAATCACAAAGAATAAAAAGTCATTAATAATTCTGCCACTTTAAAAAAGTGTGCTAAGGCAGGAGTCATCCTTCTTCCCCATGTTCCTCCATACCCCATCCAATCCCAACCCCAGGAAGTTCCATTTCCATTTGCTACCTCTCCTTCCTGACTCCAAAGTTTACACAGAAACACACACACATAAATATTTACACACATTTTTAAGTGAAAAAGGAAATCTATGTAAAATTATCTACATCCTGCTTTTTCTTTTTATTTATTTTTTATGTATTTATTTATTGAGACAGCTCTGTCACCCAGGCTGGAGTGCAGTGGCACGATCTCAGCTCACTGCAGCCTCAAACTCCTGGGCTCAAGCGGTCCTTTCACCTCAGCCTCCCAAGTAGCTGGGAGTACAGATGTATACCACTATGCCTAACTAATTTTTTAATTTTTTGAAGAGATGAGGCCTCGATATGTTGCTCAGGCTGGTCTTTAACTCCTGGCTTCAAGCAAGCCTCCACCTCAGCATCCCAACAGCATCACAAGTTGGGATTACAGGTGTGAGCCACTGCCCCACACTGATAATAATATATATCAGGGAATATGGAATAATATATATTCCCTTATATTATTATCAGTGAATAATAATATATATATATATATATATATATATATATCCCTGATATAATATATATCAGGGATATATAATAATATATATATCAGGGATAAATTTTCTGATGTGGACATCAACTTCCGCCACTTAAAATGACCACAGTGCGTTTATTCTATGCACACACCATAACTTATTCAATGACTTCCCTCTAATTTGACATGTTGTTTCAAGTGTTTTGCTCTTATAAGCCAGCCTTATGTCATGGTCTTACACATGACATAATAGTGACATTACTTCTATCATTACATAATAGTGATATTACTTCTGTAGAGTAAGTCCTTGAGATGATATTGTTGAGTTCAAATATAGATATGTCTTTCATTGTTTACAGTTGCAAATGTGGTTATCAGGAGAATTACAGATATTTTCACTTCATGCACTCCTGTATCACTTAAATTTTTGTAATGAATATAACTTTTCTAATGAGTTAAAATGCTTACTCTCCCTGTAAGAAGATGTGATACCCAAGCCCATCATCACTTTGGGTCACTCCCTGTAAGTCTTCCTTCCCAGAAATTCTGTCTGTAATTCAGTACTTCTCAACCAAGGCATGTTGGAAACGTGGGTGCAGAATTTGTCTGGTCAGTTGGTTGATTGGCTGGTTGTTCGACTGAATGGTTGTTTGGTTTGTTAGGTTTGAGCTGTCAAAAGGACTGGGAGGAGCTTTTTTTTTGCATTTAGGGCATGGGTCCAAGTATGCTAATATCTTGTAATCTGAGGGAGAGCTCTACTTAAAATGCCAAAAATGCTAGAACCGAGAACTCCAAACCCTGTTTTAGAAGATCGGATCCATTTTCTCTTGCTCTGGCTTTGGATCTCGGTTCCTTTACCTTGATCAATCATGGACATTTAGGACTGCAACCTGTGTTACGTCTTGATATACAAGTGTGCAGATCTCAGAGAATAGGAAAAACACTACTCTCAGCCTGTTGAACAGAATCTGTATCTCCCAGGCCTACCACTGACAATGTGGGTGGCTAGGTAGCCAAGTATCACATTGCCAGAAAGATACTTGTGCAGTCTCAGGCCCCCAGCCTAGCCATTTTAAGGTGAACCCACAACTGTCATATTGCAGAATCCCCTAATGCATTCTGCAGATCCAAAAGAGGCAGTTAAATTAAATTGTGAAGCTTAATTTTCATACTGCTGGCCTCCTAGCATTACCAAGAGCGGTTTCTACTTCCATTAGAGAACACTCAACTATGAATCTTGTCCCCAAATGCATTTGCATATGGCGCTGTGGATACTAATGAGCTCCAGGGACTTCTTGCAGTTATCCTCCACTCCTGCCTGTAATTTCAGCAATCTCCCTGGTGCTGCCTGAGAAAAGGGTTTGGTAGCAAGAGAAGAATATGCACTGAGAAGATGGAAGAGAGAGGCGTGTCCTGGGAAGGAAGAGAATCCTGTCTTCACAATCAGCTCCCAAAAGAGGGAGATGAAGCTGTCATTTTTCCAAGAGAATCCTCCCCCAAGCCTCAACACAGAGGAATGGCATAAAGTTCCATAAATGTTACCCTCAAAGCTTTCTGAGAACCCTCCAGGGTGAATTGGCTTTGTGGCTGACAGCACCTTAATTAGAATCTTGCTGCTGTAATAATAGTCTTAGTTCAGAGATGCTTTTACAAAAAAAGAGCCACGGAGAGAGACAGGCTTCATCTGCTTGAAATCCTGTTTTTGCCTAGGGACATCTGGCAGCAATCATAATTTAACTCATTTGGACCGAATGAATGGTGTCTTATTTCCTTCCCTATGTGCAAACCCTCAAGTATGGCCATTAGAGGCTCTTGCATGTCATAGGATGCTGCTTTTTGCCAAGAAAATCTTGTTCCCTATTTTTAAGCTCATAGAACAATCCCATTTTAGGATATTTTCTATCTGGACTAGCTTTTCAATTATTTGCATCACCTGTTTTTCGTTAGAAAATGATTTATCTTCTTTCCACACTGGGTCGCCTTTCTGGATCTACTGTAGGAATGTCCTTGGGTCTAGATCCAATGTTCCTTCTTGTTCAGTTAAGAAAGCAGCAGCTGTTGAAATAACAAGCGACAATGACACCAAGGGTCAGCAGCGGGGAAACCTTTGGAGTATTGGGGTTGTTCTGCATCCTGTCTGCAGCAGGTGTTACATGAATTGGCGCATATGATAAAACTCATAGAAATTCACAAAAGTGAAAACCACCGTTTATAATTATTTTAAATCCCAATGCCCAGGCCATATCTAGATTAATGAATTCAGAATTCCTGGGTGGGACCCTGGTATTTTCTGAGGTTCCCCAGGAGTTTCAGCATGCAGTTAAGACTAAGTAACTGGTGCCTATGCCAGTGGTGTGTGCTTGACGTGAACGTTGCTGCTGTGTCAGAAGCTCAGCCCACACTTCCCAGAGGCAAATTCTATCAGTCGGAGCCTACCTACCACAGTCTGGGAGGGAGGTGGGTTTTTATGACTTTATTCTCCAAGAGATGCTTTTCCTTATGGACAGTGTCTCAGAGGCCCTGCCGATTCCCAGGGTTTTGAGTCTGCCAGCCATATCTATGCTGGAACTATACCACTGGCTCTCCTGGGTCTCCAGCCTGCTGCCTCACCTTGCAGATCTTGGGACTTGTCAATTTCCTTTATGTCATAGTTCAATTCCTTATATCAGATAGATAAAACCACAACTGTGTGCTTCCATTTCTCTGGAGAACCCTATGATTCTTAAAATTCATAGCCACTGCGACACAGATGAGACTTGGGCCCTGTGTTTCTGAGCTATTTTAAATTCACTCTAGTCCCTTCCCTCTCCCAAGCACAGAAGGTAAAAGACATTAAGAATTGGCATATGTGATCAACGACAGGCAAGGCCTCTGTGATGGCTAAGTTTATGTATCACTTTGGTTGGACCACAAGGTACCGAAACGTTATTCTGGGTATCAGTGTGAGGGTGGATGGCATTAGCATTTGAATCAGGAAACTAAGTAATTTACATTGCCTTTGCTAATGTGGGTGGGACTTGTCCAATCAGTCGAAGGCCTAAATAGAACAAAAAGCCTGACCCTTCACTGGGACATCAGCTGTTTCCTGCCTTCAGATACAAAACGAAACACAGGCTTTTCCTGGGTCTTGGTCCTGCTGACCTTCACACTGGAACTACACCCCTGGCTCTCCTGTGTCTCCAGCCTGCCAACTCGCCCTACAGATCTTAGCAGTTGACAATTTCCATTATGTCATGAGCCAATGCCTTACAATATAATAAATTACGTAGATAAAATCATAACTTTGTGCTTCCATTTGTCTGGAGAACCCTATGAGTCTTAAAATTCATAGCCACTAAATTTTAGGTAGGACTAAACTGTAGCAGTTTAAAGTTAACAAGAAGCCATTGACTGGGTGTTGTGGCTCACACCTGTCATCCCAGCACTTTTGGAGGCCAAGGTGGGAGCATCACTGAGTCCAGGAGTTCCAGACCAGCCTGGGCAACATAGCAAGGCCCCATCTCTACAAAATAATACAAAAAAAAAATTAAAAATTAGCTGGGCATAGTGGTACACACCTATAGTCCAGGAGGCTGAGGCAGGAGGATCACTTGAGTCCAGGAATTCAAGTCTGCAGTGAGCCATGATTGTACCACTACACTCCAGGCTAAGTGACAAAGAGACACTGTCTCTTAAAAAAAAAAAAAAAAGAAAGAAAGAAGAAGCCACTGAATTGGACCTTCTAGAAAGACTACAGATAATGTGGTTGGCTCACAAATGGCTCACATTTGTATATTATGTACTCCTCTTCCAAGATGGTACCACCTGAGACCCTAGGCACACAGATCTCACTCCATCACACTGCTACAAGCATAAGAACCATAAGGAGGGCCTGGGCCCAGTGGCTCACGCCTGTAATCCCAGCACTTTGGGAGGCCGAGACAGGAGGATCATGAGATCAGGAGTTCAAGACCAGCCTGACCAACACAGTGAAACCCCATCTCTACTAAAAATATAAAAATTAGCTGGGCATAGTGACACAAGCCTGTAATCCCAGCTACTCAGGAGGCTGAGGAAGGAGAATTGCTTGAACCCAGGAGGCAGAGGTTGTAATGAGCCAAGATTACGCCATTGCACTCTAGCCCGGGCAACAGAGCAAGACTCCCTCTCAAAAAAAAAAAAGAACTGTAAGGAGGGAGGGAGATGTTTCACTGATTTTTCCTTAAATATAATAAATATGTTCTTTTTGGAACAAATGTGGCAGAGTTGGTTCAATCAAATCGTTGATGATTGCTTCCGTTCCATTGTTTTGTTTCCTCCTTGGGAATATCAACATTTCTGAGCCTGACTCACTTCTCTATCCTCGATAGCCATTATCCACTCCTACATCAACATGGTTAAAAGTCCCTGTACTTTTTCTGCGCATTCCAGAAGGGATTAGCACATGTGTTCTCCACTTCAGTGGTTCCATTGTTTTCGTGTCCAACCTGCTTCAGTGTGGCTTGTAATTCAGCTGTTGTATTTTAATAGCTTTCAGTGATTCTTTAATTTATCCAACTGCCTTTTTGTCTCGTCCTCTTAGATTTTCATTGCGGCATGTTCTCCCATTATAAATTTGTATCCCTTTGTCACTAAAGCCATGTCTTCTTGCATCCTATTATGCAAATTACTCCCTAAAATGTCCTACTTCTGCAGCAGGCTGTTTTCGACTTTCCTCTCTATCAGAATCTTCAGGAGGATGTTTTCTCTCCCACCTTTTGCAGTAGGATTTCATAAGCCCCATGATGAAATGTTTGCTATTGACTTATTCAATAAGGAGAAGACATCCATCTGGACTCAGTGTTTACTAAGACTTAAGGTGTGTGGACAATCCTTGTCCCTGAACTCTCTCCACTGGGGTACTGGCTGAATTTTATTCCCAAATCTGCAGCTGGCGAGAAGATGATATATTCAGTTTCTGGATCAATTTCCATGTCTCAGAAGCTTTTATCTTCTGTGATTCTGTTAAGCTAAAATGTCATCAAAATTTTATTTCCAGCACCTGGCTCTCTGATAGTGGGAATAGATGGAGCACATATAAAACTGCAATCCCCAAAATGTACTACTATCGAGTTCTTTTAGTCTCGGACTCCCACAAAGAATGCTTAATCTAGAGGGGCAGGGGTGTGGGGGTGGGTTAAAGGTCTCATGGCGAAATCTCCCTTGCCATCGCCTCTCTTCCTCACAATATCTGTGAGTAGGGGAGGAACAACTGACAAATACGACATGAGGGTGTGGAAGAGACCCCTCGCTGCCTCCAAAAGCGGTAACCACTCAGTACATCGTTCATGCTTTCTTTCATTAAATGCTTCCTACACATCCACTCTGTGTTGGCACCCTTCTAGGTGGTGAGGGCGCAACAACAAAACAAAGCTCCCCACTCACAGAGGTTACACACTAGTGGGTACAGAGTTGATGAGCAGCCAAAGAAATGCATTAGGTGGATAGATGCTGTGAAGAGGCGTGAAGCAAGGGAGAGGGAGAAAGTGTTGGAAGGGGCTGAAGGACTTAAGAAGGGCATCTCACAAACTGATTTTCAGCAACTCCTTTTCCTCTAAAATAAATAACATATGCAAGCCTGATATAGGAAATAGAAAATGTCTAGTTAAAATGAGGCACACAGCTGCTTCTCCCCCTTGATAAAACCCTCAGATATGTTCATAAATGCTAGCATCTCAAGGGACCCAACTGGAAAACCACTGAAATGAGCCCATGAGGCAACTGCATCTTCAATATTTTCAGTAGTAGTAAATATTCGTCCATAGAGAGTGGGTTTGATTTTGAGAAACAACTGATAGTTATTGAGAATGGTCCTGGTTCCTGAAGTGAATGAACTATCTGGGAACTATCGTGTGGCTTCCAAAGAAAGTGAGAAAATTTTAATTTATTTTTCTTACAAGTCTTATAAACTGACAGTTTGAAATGGTAGCAAGTGTGAAAAAAAAACTACAGGTTGTTCAAACAATGACCTTATTTTGGGAATAATGGGACAGACTTCTAAAGTGAGTCCTTTAAGAGAAATAAAGAAAATAAACAAAAGAAAATGAATTCCTTAATTCTAATTCTTTATGTCCCAGCAATCACAATAGTGTAATGCTATTTCTTCACATTTTCTTGCTAAGATAAGGAGTGTTAAACAGAGGGTGAATTTAGAACTAGAAGACCTAGGCCAGGCACAGTGGCTCACACCTGTAATCTCAGCACTTTGGGAAGCCAAGGCAGGTAGATCACCTGAGGTCAGGAGTTCGAGACCACCTGGCAAACATGGTGAAACCCCGTCTCTATAAAAAATACAAAAATTAGCTGGGCATGGTGGCTCCTGCCTGTAATCACAGCTACTCAGGAGACTGAGGCAGGAGAGTCACTTGAACCTGGGAGGCAGAGGCTGCAGAGTGCCAAGATTGCACCACTGCACTCCCGCCTGGGAAACAGAGAAAGAAGACTCCGTTTAAATAATAATAATAATAATTAGAGGACCTAATTTTCTTAGCAGCTGACTGTTGATTTTGGACAAGTCATTTGAACTCAAAGATCACAGTTTACTCATCTGAAAGAAAAAAAAAATGTAAGTTAATATGTTTGAAACCCCTGAATGTTGTACCTGTGTTCATTTGTAGTCTGTGCTTTTTTTTCTCATTTTATGAAATATCACATTTATTTACATATTTTTCTCTCTGTCATTCCCAAGAATACCTAAACTACAGAATGGAATTATTGGCCAGTTCTTGCTGTCACTTACTCTGCGCAAATTAGAGCAGTTTAATCAACAGTAACTAATATCACAAGTGCTCAAGAAATAAGAAAACACTGGAAATCCCCACTACACAAAAAATTCCTATATGTGACCATATTTCTTTTCAATCACTGTAGTAGAGTTTTAAGTCTCAAGCAAAGTACTGGAACCCAAATTGTTCATCAGATTAATTAGTGCAGATCAAGGCCCAGAAAGAGCAGGATACAAGATGAATTAAAGAGAAGTAAGTGTTTAAATTCAGAGCCAAGAGAGTTCCAGAACCTGGAAAATCTTCCAGCACTTC